GGATATTATGATTTGGTTTATTACCATTCATTGGTATCAATTTACGATACTGTATTTAATAAAAAAACAAGCATAGCAAACTCACTTAGTCCCCTCCTGGCACAGTTTTCTCCGAATACTACCCGCATTTTCGTCTGCCAAGTTCTGAAACGTGGGCCATCTCGTTGGAGAGTCACCTAAATGTGAACAAAAATACAGCCCAGTAAATACCTAGATGAGGATGGTAAAATAACTCAGGGATATGTGCCAAATCACAAAACAAAATTGCTAGCAATGCAATTCTCCAAAACTGTTTTCCGAAGATGAAATATTCTAATCTAATATGAAGCGGTGTATTAGATATTTTTATTTACACCAAGCTATACAAACGTCAACCACTCGCTTCTCGTATATCCTTCTGATTCGACAAAAAATTGAATCATTGAATTTCCACAATCTTCGTTTGTATTTTCATCTGGATTTAGAAATCCTTCTGAATTACACACTCTTACAAACAAAAACCCAGTCGTAGCATTATTTTGATGGTCAGATCAGAACTACGACCAGTAAAAGCATAACAGTATCAGTAGTCTATATTTTGATAGTCAGGATTACGTAAAAAATCTCAACACCAAAAATATAGTAACCCTAATATTAAAAATCGTTATGACTAATCACCTTATCCGATGAGTGATGATTTCCAGCAGCATTCCTCGGTGACGTTGAAATCCTTGCTTATTTTGACTCGACTTCAACTCACTGGGTAACTGATAACACCTGACACAAAAGACTTGGATCGCTTCTCCAAACACAACTGTTCTATTTATCTAAATTTCGGCAATCACGCACTCATGAAGTTCCCAATCCCCTCACGGCGCCAAGGTTACTTGCGAACAATACGGCAAACGTGGTAAAGTTCTCGGCGAACCCGACAGTTTTACTATTGCGACACAAAGCCTCTTTAGTACGAAGTTGTGAATTGAGGTCCTTTTCAGTTTATTGAGCTTATATTGCAAAAAACAGAACGGACGATCTTCATGTTCTGCCTGGTTATTGTATCAAAATTATCAAACCTACTCTCCAAAAATCGTAAAAACATATACCGAAAAATTAAAAGATTTTTTCATAAATAAAATGTCCACTTTATGTACGAAAATTAAACCCATTGATTATAAACCAGCAGAACTACTGTCCCAATAAAGTTGGCGAAAATGTGCAATTATTTAAAAAATATTGAAAGAACATATTATTTTTGATACTGTTTTATCAGAGAAAAAGAGATTTCAGCAAAATATCGCAAAACGTTTTAATTATGGAACGTGGAATATTTAAGCGGACAGGAAAATGTCTACCCAATTTTTCCGTCTACATAACTGTCGCTTTTTTAGCACGGTATGTCTACTTAACTACCGTATTAGATATATATATATATATATATATATATATATATTTAACTCTATTACGGTAGTTAAACGGACCTGCCATATTTGCAGTACTTAAGCGGACGTCGTTCCTGTGTCCGTATCATTGTTTTTAAATACGTGCTTGGAGAGCGCGAGAGCCGTTGACAACTACGGAGAAAAAGAGTCAACACAATCCTCTCGATAAAAGATATAGAATTTTTGTCCGCTTAATTCGTCCACTTAATTCAGACCACCAAATGTTTTAGCCTATTTCGGCACTAAGCCGGACCTCCTTTTATATGTCGCTCTGGATGTCTGCATAAATGATGTTGCTTTTATTTTAATACGCATTTTAAAGCGTATGACCTCGCTTCAATTTCCGATGGATTCGAACCATTTAGCAATATTTATCACAAAAAATAGCATTTCTTTTTCAATGTTCCGTCTTTCGTGCAAGGGAGATGCACTGTGTTTGGTGTTCGAAATATTCTTCTATATCAAAAAATACTCAAAATGCAACGTGAAGGTAGACAAATCGAAACAAATTGATCCAAACGTGTTATATATTTGAAACTGAGAAATACACAGAGCATATCACAAATGTTCGCCTATTCCAACCCTATGGTGCAACATATAGATTAAACAGATGCTATGTTGTGAGTGTCAAGATATCAATACCAAGTCAAAATTATGGCATTCCAATAATATTGATAAACATTACATAAAATATATCTCAAATGTCAACTTATCCGACCACCTAAGGGTGGCATACAACAATTGAAAAAAAAATTCTTAAATCATATTGAGAAACATCACACAAAATATATCTCAAATGTCCACCTATCCGGCCACCTAAGTGTGGCATAAAAGAATTGAAATAAAAATTCTGAAATCATATTGATAAACATTACACAAAATATATCTCAAATGTCAACTTATCCGACCACCTAAGGGTGGCATACAACGATTGAAAAAAAATTCCTAAATCATATTGAGAAACATCACACAAAATATATCTCAAATGTCCACCTATCCGGCCACCTAAGTGTGGCGTACAAGAATTGAAATAAAAATTCTGAAATCATATTGAGAAATATTACACAAAGTATGTCTCAAATGTCCACCTATCCGGCCACCTAAGTGGTGGCGTACAAGAATTGAAAATGAAAATTCTGAAATCATATTGAGGAACATTACACAAAGTATATCTCAAATGTCCACATATCCGGCCACCTAAGTGTGGCATTAAACATTAAAATGAAAATTCTTAAATCGTATTGAGAAACATCATGCAAAATATATCTCAAATGTCCACCTATCCGGCCACCTGAGTGTGGCATTAAACAATAAAATGAAAATTCTGAAATCATATTGAGAACATTACACGAAGTATATCTCGAATGTCCACCTATCCGGCCACCGAAGTGTGGCATACAAGAATTGAAATGAAACTTCTGAAATCATATTGAGAAACATTACACAAAGTATATCTCAAATGTCCACCTATCCGACCACCTAAGTGTGGCATAAAACAATCAAAATGAAAACTCTTGAAATCATATTGAGAAACATTACACAAAGTATATTTCAAATGTCCATCTATCCGGCCACCTAAGTGTGGCATGAAACATTAAAATGAAAATTCCGAAATCGTAATGAGAAACATTACACAGAGTATATCTCAAATGTCCACCTATCCGGCCACCTAAGTGTGGCATACAAGAATTAAAATGAAAATTCTGAAATCATATTGAGAAACACTACACAAAGTATATCTCAAATGTCCACCTATCCGGCCACCTAAGTGTGGCATACAAGAATTGAAATGAAAATTCTGAAATCATATTGAGAAACATTACACAAAGTATATCTCAAATGTCCACCTATCCGACCACCTAAGTGTGGCATAAAACAATCACAATGAAAACTCTGAAATCATATTGAGAAACATTACACAAAGTATATCTCAAATGTCCACCTATCCGACCACCTAAGGGTGGCGCAAAACAATCACAATGAAAACTCTGAAATCATATTGAGAAACATTACACAAAGTATATCTCAAATGTCCACCTATCCGGCCACCTAAGTGTGGCATACAAGAATTGAAATGAAAATTCTGAAATCATATTGAGAAACATTACACAAAGTATATCTCAAATGTCCACCTATCCGACCACCTAAGTGTGGCATAAAACAATCACAATGAAAACTCTGAAATCATATTGAAAAACATTACACAAAATATATATCTCAGATGTCCACCTATCCAGCCACCTAAGTGTGGCATACAAGAATTGAAATGAAAATTCTGAAGTCATATTGAGAACATTACACAAAGCATATCTCGAATGTCCACCTAAGTGTGGCATACAATAATTGAAATGAAAATTCTGAAATCATATTGAGAAACATTACACAAAGTATATCTCAAATGTCCACCTATCCGACCACCTAAGTGTGGCATAAAACAATCACAATGAAAACTCTGAAATCACATTGAGAAACATTACACAAAGTATATCTCAAATGTCCACCTATTCGACCACCTAAGTGTGGCATAAAACAATCGCAATGGAAACTCGGAAATCATATTGAGAAACATTACACAAAGAATATCTCAAATCTAAGTGGGGTATACAAAAATTGAAATGAAAATTCTGAAATAATATTGAGAAACATTACACAAAATATATATCTCAAATGTCCGCATATCCGACCACCTAAGTGAGGCATACAACTATTGAAACAAAATTCTGGAATCGTATTGAGAAATCTTACACAAAATAGATCTCACACACTTAAGTGTGTGAAATTTAACTGAAATACGAAATTTCGAATACTAATCATATTTCGATGTTGTGGAAAATTGCTCAAACTTTATCTCTAATGTTCACCTATCCGATAACTTGAGAGTGACAAATATTATAAAACAAAATTTTGAAACCGTATTGAAAAACAAAACAGAAAATTAATCGCAAATCGTCATCTACTCAGCTACGTAAGTGTGTCATGTAAATGCAAAATGATATTTTGGAATGGCAATAATATTGAGAAGCATTCAAAAAAAATTTCAACCATTCGACCATTTCAGAAGGTATATAATTAAAACACGAAATTCTGAATAAAATATCGAGAAACATTATACACAACATATCTTAAATGTTCAATAAAGTGACGTTTTCAGTGGGGCCTATAAATGCGAAACGAAATTTTGCCATGTCAACTAAAATGAGAAACATTACACCAAATATAACTCAAATGTCTACCTATCAGGGCGCCTAATTATAGCAGTGATTGATTATACAGTCAACTATACAAGCGATCAAAATGAAATTATTGAACCTCAATATCAATTTAGAATCTTTGCACAATTTATTTAAATTTTTGCACCAACTCGGAAAACAAAAACATGATTGTTATTTTGAATTTATAATTAAATAGTAAAAATATATGCCAAGTATGTATACGAATGTGGATATGCTCACTAGGTTAAGTTGTTGAGGAGAGACAAGATTATGCTCACTGCCGGTTCATCTTTATGAATTATACAGAGATGTCTTAAAGCTTTACAATAAACTTCTCGCAAGATATAGCAATCCGTGCAATTATTTTTCTTTTCGTCGTTTCTTTTCTGGTTCGCGTTTGTTTAGAAGCTTTTTTTTTAATTGATTTACAGCCTTTTTCTTTTCCATATATATGGTTTTCTTCGAAATCACTTAAATTGCTTATTGAAAGTGATTCTGAAGATGGTGCGGTATAGTCTGTTGACTTATCTGAAACTTTGGTCAAAAATACATGCATAAGTCACAAAACATCATCACAGTGTTTTAGTCCAATTCAGAATTACGCTACTCTTGATTGATCGAACAAACGAAATGTTTGAAATGAATAATCGCATTATTACTCAAATAAACCAGAGTTCCTAAACGTTGCACTACAATTATTCGTAGATAGCTGCGCTATTTGTGATGGGCTACAAATGATATTATGATTTGGTTTATTAACATTCATTGGTATCAATTTACGATACTGTATTTAATAAAAAAAATTAGCATAGCAAACTTATTTAGTCACCTCCTGGCACAGCTTTCTCCGAATCACTACCCGCATTTCCGTCTGCCAAGTTCTGAAACGTAGGCTATCTCGTTGGAGAGTCACCTACATGTGAACAAAAAAAATATAGCCCGGTGAATAACTAGATGAAGATGATAAAATAACACAGGGACATGTGCCAAATCACGAAACAAAATTGCTAGCAATGCAATTCTTCAAAACTGTTTTCCGAAGATGAAATATTCTAATCTAATATGAAGCGGTGTATTAGATATTTTTATTTACACCAAGCTATACAAACGTCAACTACTCGATTCTCGTATATCCTTCTGTTTCGACAAAAAATTGAATTCATTGAATTTTCACAATCTTCGTTTGTATTTTCATCTGGATTTAGAAATCCTTCTGAATTACACACTCTTACAAACGCAAACCCAGTCGTAGCATTATTTTGATGGTCAGATCAGAACTACGACCAGTAAAAGCATAACAGTATCAGTAGTCTATATTTTGATAATCTGGATTACGTGAAAAATCTCAACACCAAAAATATAGTAACCCTAATATTAAAAATCGTTATGACTAATCACCTTATCCGATGAGTGATGATTTCCAGCAGCATTCCTCGGTGACGTTGAAATCCTTGCTTATTATGACTCGACTTCAACTCACTGGGTAACTGATAACACCTGACACAAAAGACTTGGATCGCTACTCCAAACACAACTGTTCTATTTTATCTAAATTTCGGCATCACGCACTCATAAAGATCCCGATCCCCTCACGGCGCCCAGGTTACTTGCGAACAAAACGGCAAACGTGGTAAAGTTCTCGGCGAACCCGGCAGTTTTACTATTGTGACACAAAGCCTTTTTAGTACGGAGTTGTGAATTGAGGTCCTTTTCAGTTTATTGAGCGTATATTGCAAAAAAACAGAAAGGACGATCTTCATGTTCTGCCTGGTTATTGTATCAAAATTATCAAACCTACTCTCCAAAAATCGTAAAAACATATACCGAAAAATTAAAAGATTTTTGCATAAATAAAATGTCTACTTTATGTACGAAAGTTAAACCCGTTGATTATAAACCAGCAGAACTACTGTCCCATTAAAGTTGGCGAAAATGTGCAATTATTTAAAAAATATTGAAAGAACATATTAATTTTAATACTGTTTTATCAGAGAAAAAGAGATTTCAGCAAAATATCGCAAAACGTTTTAATTATGGAACGTGGAATAATTAAGCGGGCAGGAAAATGTCTACCCAATTTTTCCGTCTACATAACTGTTGCTTTTTTAGCACGGTATGTCTACTTAACTACCGTATTAGATATATATATATATATATATATATATATATATATATATATATATGAAAATATGTCACGGCTCATAGAAAAATCAACTATCGGCTGGAATTGAACCATTTGTCGCGAATAAATCTCACGAGTGACTTCAAAAACTCCAATATAGTGTCAAAAGTTCTGCAAAGTAGCTTCTTCTTGATCTTAAAATCTCTTTAAATACCGGTAATGTGTTTAATTTAGGTCATTTACTGCAGTTATGTCCACGCGGAATATATAAACAGTATCTGACATGTTGGTTCCGGAAAAGCGGTATTCTCACGAATGCGACAAAACTCACCCAATTTAACACTATTTATCATTAACAGCTAAACATGGAGTAGCAATATTGAGAAAAAAAGTGAACTTTGTGAGTCTTACATTGGATCTATTTACATTTTTTATTGCAATCACAAACATAACCTGCTTCAGGCTTTCAAATATCATTTACACTACACATTCAACAACATTGACGGTTACTGTTAGCAAATTATGGTACATTATTCATACATAACCAGGACATTGTAGTTGGGGGACCTTCATTATATCTCAGTTTGACTGAAGTCGGTAAGAAAACTCTAAAATGGTCTCGAGTTATTAAATCGGAAACATATAAGAAAGAAATGTGTCAGCAAGGGATTACGCGAAATAAAGAAATTCTCATGAAAACGGGACAATATGAACATTAATAAAAAATACACAAAAAAAGACAAAGTGAAACAAAGAATGCTCAGCCAAGATAAGTACAAGGTCAAATTATCGTTCTCTCTGCAATGGCCAACACAATAAGGTAATGATATACCCAAATAAGTTTGTTGAAGAATATTATTTATCTGATGAAATGAATTATTGGAAAAATCAAGATCTCGTTTATTGTTTGATTAATAAAAGTAACAAGCATTCACAACTGTTGAACATGGAAAAGTTTCTCAACCTCTAACAATTTATTACATATTTGAATATTTTACTGATTTCTATCTTTGGGTTATTTGAAAGGAGTTCATTCAATATAAATATGATAGTACATATTGCTGGAAACGGTCGTGACCTTATACACGATATAAAGTTTATAAACTAAGTGATATACTGTATTGGGAGCGAGAATGGAAAAACGTGATTTTTCAGCGTCCATAAAGTCCATAAAGTATTTAATATAATCACCTATCTTATTCCGTTCCTAGTTAAATGGCGAAATAAAACAAATGATTTTGACAAATTAGTGATTGTCTAACAATTTTAGATATTTGTGAAACGTATTTTTGAAAGTTAACTTCTGTATCAATGCTAACATTGGTCACCACATTTTTACTCTGATTACAAATCTGTGTAAGACGTAATCGAACTGGCCAACGTCCAAAAAAAGAAACTTCTCTCAGAGTAGAGACCTACAGCATTAGCCTTTCTGTTCTAAAACTTGGATAAGTGTGCTAGTAGCATTATGAATCGACTTCTTTTTCTAAGAGACCGTAGTTCGCCATATGATTAAGCCGTCTTATCGACTTTCCTCTCCCCAGGATAAATATGTAAATCCTATCCTATCCTGATAGTTATACGTTTCCACAGTCTGACACAATTGTAAATTCCAGCGAACCACAAAAGCATACCGGACATTTCAACCAGTCACAAAGCATTAATTTTCACTGGTAGACTTAGAACTCAACACCATTCAGACGAGATTTTATATTTCAGCACTATACAATAAGTGCATTTATTGAGTTAGTTAGTAATAAAATGAACAAAATGTATGAACGTAAAAATGAGTCTAAAAATGAATATTAAATGAAAAAATAACTGTATATATGCTGGAAATATTAGCATAGAAGCAAATTCAAAGTTTGAAAATATATAGTTAAATACAAGTTGTTTTTATTCGCTAAAAGCATTCAGAATTTATTTTGTTAAAAAATTCATTTTTAGTTGACACTCATAAGGAATTTCCTTCCCTGTTAACCAGTATTTTACAGCAAATTTTTTCGCTATCGTGTAAAGAGTTTTTAGAAATACTGTAGAAAAAAACTGAAAATTTTCAGTCTTCTATGTGCAATTTTAGAATACTTTCGAACGTTGATTGAAAAATGGCAGTTCTGGTACAATGATCTAACATGATTTAATATACAAAGAGACTTACAAAATTGAAATATAAAAATATGTTGAACAATGCAATAATCATATCCATTTAAAATGTTTTCTAATTGTATAGAAATGAAGGATATGTTTTTGAGGTTTGCAAATCTAAACATAATTACTATATTTTTTCTTCAACCTCTAGGAACCATATGTGGAGGTGCAACTAAAGGTGGGCGTACTAGTGCAGAATGTCTGTTGACACGTGCAGAAACTGTAGGCAACGGTCTGTTTGCATGTTGTACACCAGCGATCATAGGATCCTCTATTGTAGATAATAATTCTGCTGGGCACATCTCTGGGTATATACACCTTCGTCCATATTCTACTTTACCTGCAGGACATTGGCACCCAGACACACAAGGCAGATAACATTGTGCAGCAATTGATCCTGGTGGAAGATTTCTATTGGCACATGTCCTCTTGCAAGGAGATCCACATTCATCAAACACATAACCTCGATCATATGGGCATACGACAGCTGAAAATACATTATCAAATTGTCGGTATTAGGCAATAGATTTCACAAAATCAAAGTAAAATAATGAGAATTCCAGGGATTCTTTTGTGTTGTAGTTCCAAACAAACTCGTAGATTCTTGTTTTCTCAAATGTTAGAATAGGGCCGGTCATATATAGTGGTGAGCACTTCGTGACTAATCATTAATCGCAAAAATCGTAAGGATTTTTTAAAGTAGATAAAGCATAATCTGAGGCGAATAAAATATTAATATGTTTATTAGTTGTGCACAAGTACAACAATAAAAAAAAGAGAGTGTATTTTATTTACTCTAATAAAATATCTGTGCGCTTTGCATAACATACACATTTACTGTAAAATAGCGTCATTTTGCTTCATTGTTGAACAGTGTCCAGCATTTATTATCTTGGTGCTCAAAAATATTTGACTGTAATTTTTAAGACAGAACACCAGTTTTATTGCTATCACAAAGCACGACGTAAACATTACGAACAGGCAGATACTTGCTGAAATTGACAAACATTCAAGTTAAATGCTATGCTTCACTACCTTTGCATCAGGGAAGTTTAGGAGCAAGGCTGAGTATTAGTCTCAGGTTTTGACAACAAGCAGGGACATGAAAGTTTAAACTTCACATTACAATTCTGATTTCAAATTGAATATCATTAGTTAATCTTACCACAGAGAGCTGGATTCCTCCATCTAACAGCTATTCCGGATCTGCTACATTGAGCTGCATATGCCTCCAAAACATCACATAGACAAGACTGCTCACTCTCACCACATGCACATAAATCATATACACATGTGGCAAAATAAACTGCTGGATTTACAACCTGCATTCGAAAACAATGTGATCTTCACAAAATTGTGAATGTAACTTTCTCCCATTAAGTTTTTTACAAAATATTGATAGATTTATAATTTGTTGCTATCGCAAATGAAATATAAATGCTGGTTCCATATCAACCGTTGGATGTACAGTGGAAATAAACTTTTAATGGAAGGCAAGGCATCGAAAAGAAATTATAAATGTTGGATGAAAGTTTTAAGCAATAAGTTTCTTTCATTTTCAACTTTACACCCCCTCACAGAGTGTATTAGACATTGCAACAAATGCTATTTGCTTGTATGTACTAGGCTTCGAAAAGGCTTAATAAAAAGGAATTATACTTACAGCATGACAAGCTGCAAATGTAGGTGAATTCAGTATCTTACATTTTTCATTTGCCAAGGTTCGCATAGCATAATTCACTGCATTACATGGATTATGATCTTCAACATCTGGACATGGTGGAGCATTTGGAATATTGATCTGAAATGTGAATTGAAACATGCCTTATATTATTTATACAGACATATATTTATATAATTATACATCGATGACAGTTGTGTCATTCTTTTTCTACCTGTGTCAATATTTTTACGTAATAATCTTTAATTTTTTAAACAGCTTTGAAATGAAATGTATTTTTAATACACAGCTGAAACTGCCATTGCATTTATGCTTACTTTCCAATCATTTCCAAATTCTGAATCACTAGTTGCTAATCTGCTGTTGTGTAATCTTCTATCATCTTGTGGATAATTGTTGAAATTTCCACAAAGTCCACACGTTCTTCGCTTATATGTTCCTGGAACAGTTACTTCTAGTCGCTGCTGCCTTCCATTCCATGAAAGATGTACACCTTCAAAATAATATATTATATTTTAAATTCAAAGGCCCTATTATAAAAAGTAATTAATAAGTTGTTAATTAAATAAGTAATTAACAAAACTAGAGTAATCTTATGACACTGTATATATAATATCTACCTAAGTGAGTTTTCAACAGCATATAGTTTCCAACAACTTCAATGTAATAATATGGCAACAGTGAGAATGGAAGATGGCGCACAACTGTTCCATTTATTCGGATTGAATAATCCTTCATGAGTGAAACAGTTCCTCCCGCAGTTATTATAGTTACTTGCTCAGTCCAGGAAACCTTTCTACTTGACCCAATGTTCCTAGTATTGTGCACTATAACTCTGTGACAAAGAGAGTAAATTAGATACTTCTAAACATTGGGAAAATGTCAGCTGCCAAGGATGGGTGTCAACCAACAAGCAAGTACAAAAAGCTATATCATATCTATTTTATTCTTACACAACACATCACCTTTTGAATATACATGTTATGTCTAACAGGAACAATTCATATTCCATAATTCACAGAATAATATGAGACACATAAAAAAATTTGAGGCAATATCCGAAATCATTCAAAAGTCAATTCAAGTGAAGATAAAAAAATATATATTGCAATTTCAAGAAGTCAAATTAGTTACTTGAAATCTGATTTACTGCAATCCGCTGTGAGAAGGTATTGACAAGTTCCTTGAAAATGAACCATTCGACCATCAAACGTTTTATAATGTGGATCACCAAATGCAGTGCAACTTGCAGGACGAGGCATACATTTAGGGCAACATTCTCCCGAAATTACAGTAGGGGCATGATCAGCATGGCACATCACCATTCTAAAAAGCATAATGAAAAAATTCATGAAATACTTGCATGAAACCAAAACTGCAAGTTCACGAAAAGGTTATATTCCTTGTGTTTAAAATGGTCATCATATCCTGACAGATCTTTGCATAGTAGCTGAATTGATAACTTGGCTTGAATTAACAATCTATTACATGGGATGATATTGGTCAACCAATTTCAACAAACCTAGTTACAAATGACTTGCTTACCTGCACTTTTCTGTCACACAATTCACTTCACCACCAAAACATGTACAAGTTGTACATTGATCTGATTTCCATTTATGATGTGCTTGAATAGATTGCCCTTCATAAGTGCAAGGAGCATCAGCATTTAAGCATTCATGGCAGCATTGACCTGAAAAAACAATTATGATATAATTATAGGTAAATAATTACATTAATTATAGGTAAATAATTACATTTCAAATATCCAGTAGAATAAATCGTTACACAAAGTATTTTACTGTTCATTTAACAACAAATTTCAGATATTATCTACTGTTTACGACTTTGAGCAGATGTTACAATTTCAACTTATCAGAGAAAAATGTAAGACCCTGGAATTGGGTAAGTTGGTAGCACTGCATTGTAATATGATAAACAAATTCATTTTGATGTACCCCTAGCCTGTGTCAGACAACTGGCCATTGTAAGTTTGAAATGCATAAAATATACGTGAGTTTCCCTGGGCATGGTTATATCTTCATGATGTAATTTAGAATTGCCCCTGCCAAGTGAAGAATCAGTAGCAACAGGAAGTTAAAGAGGCTCACTATCACTTGAAAAGGGCTTAGAATCAGAGTGACATTCCAGACTAACAAAAATATTTGATATGGTGAGAAGTGGAAAATAAAAATCTTCGAAAATGATATGGTTTGGTTCATTCAACGTTTTTCTTTTTCTATTTTTATATTCAGTGAGATTTCTATAGCAAAACTTCTATTTTTTCCAGCATTATCTTACAATTTATGATTGTTCTATATTCAGATTAAAAAAAAGAGATGGAACTGATTTATTTACACCAGCTGATATATGGAATTTGGATTACTTTAATTTTCCTAGGTATACCTCAATAATATAATTTTACATACTGACAAAAATATTTTATTTACCTGCTTTTTTATACGGAATGGTGCCTGCACTACATTTTAACGTCATCATTGGACAGTCTTGTTTGACACAAATAATAGATCCTTTATCACATCTGCATACTTCGCATTCACTTCGTTTCCAGACTTTACCATTCGGAACATCCAAGTTTTCCATATCCAGATGACATTCATCACACACAGGACAACAGGCCCCCTTTTAATAAATAGATATCACTTCATATTTATTCAACAAAATTTAAAAAAATACGCTAGTCAATGTTAGAAAAGAAATGGAAATAATATTACATTTGGAGTGTATCTTTTCATCACAGGACAATCCAGTATTTTGCACTGTTCCCTCAAGCACACCCATGTATTTTCCATCTGGCAGTCACAAGAATAACAACGATTTTCATTGGGAACTATTCGACTACCTGTAAACACCATATAATATGATTTTAATGTCAATGTCCCCAACAAAATTAATATGAAAATGCCAGGAGAATTAAAACGATACTTATTCCCATATAGATAGACATGGGATAGCAAAAAAAGTAGGGGCATGTAAATTTAGTAGTGAAAGTAGTGAACATCATCAAACCTCTAAATTTTACAATAAAAATCAGATATTTAATGTTCCTATGTAGTTTATGCTCGAGTCTAAAATTCGGCATTAAGAGCACGCTTGTCATCACACCTCTGATTACTGTGCATGGATTGGCATGTTCAAATCCAATGGAGAATGACCATGTGCGTGGTGCTTCCTGCACCACAAAGTACAAGTATATGAAAAAAACAACTGGTTAACCATTCCCATACCCAACATAGGCTGGTAATCATGCAAGAGGTTTTGGATCACTATATGATCCATCTTATCTTCTTTCCTCCTTCCCACAATAAATATCAAAATCCAATGTTGTGGGAATGTCAACTTTTTGTTTTATATACTCTTTGTACCTAATTAATGCCTATTTTCTATGATTTATAAATATTTGAAGCATCTTAGTAAGGATTAGATATGGGATGATTAATTGTACAAAAACGTTATCTATTATTGAATGGTTATATATTTGTTAAAATAAATCTGAAGATTGTTCTGGAATATTTAAAAGTTGTTGATTTGCAAACACCGCACACACTTTGCGTAATTGTGCCAAATGTTGAATGTTAACAAGATAGTTTTTGAAATAACCTGTTCATAATTAAACTTTGGTATACATACCTTGTGATTCAGCAGAACAAAGTCCATATGCACATTCTGGTCTATTTGTGCAAGTTGGACAGCACTGCCCAGGCAATGGTTGTCTGATACAAGAACGAGGACAATCAGCAAGAGAGGGGCATTCCTTCCTCTTACAACTCATGATGGGTGCTCTTGTTGGTGATGCTTTACATTCACAAATTTCACATGAATCCATGGAATTAGGTTCGAAAGTTTCTCCAATTTGGTAAACCTGGAGTAATCCGAAATAGATAAACAAATTCGTTCAGATTTCTGCCACAGCAAATCAGGAACAACAAACAAATAGAAAAATATATAGACAAAATCCTGAATGGTTGAAAAACAGGGATGAATATTTATTTATTCATACGCATGGAATAGGTTGATGGAAAAACTGACAACCTACAAACATTACACAAATCACCCTGCGATGGTAAGGAGTTGATCAATCCTTCAATCTAAAATTATCCAGCGTAAGATTCGAGCTTTTAAACCAGCATTAAATATTATAACTTTGACTGTTTCTGCTTAATAACCTACTTTGACTTCTTTTCTAGTATCTAGGTTTTCTAATTGGAGTGTACTGAAGAAATACTAGATAGGTTCTGCAACAGGTGAATTCGCATGAAAGTCAGCTTCAACTCAACTAGGACTTTCAAATCTACTACCGGTTCTTGTCACAAAATACTACATGACCCAATTTTTGAAAATTATAAAAGTACCTTGTTATTGTAAAAGCATCCTGCACAAACAGGACAGCATTGTCCGGGGATAGTGATCATCATTCTACATGGTTGAAGGCATTGAATTTGAGCACAAGTCACTACACCATTTAAACATTGACATTCTTGACAAGGATCTTCTGGTAAAGTCCAAGAGTCATGATCAGAATGGATTTTTCCACCCATAACACAGCTCTTACAACGGGTGCAGCAATCTCCAGATTTTTTAATCTAAATTTATAGTAAAAAGGTTTATTCAATTTAACAACTATTTTTTACTAGATCTAGATTTACTGGATAATAAAAGCAACATAGGTAACCTGTTTACTGGCAGGGCAAGTGAGTGTTGGACAAGATTTCATTACGCAATTCACATTTCCACCAGTGCATAAGCAATCCTTGCATTCATTTGGATGAAACATCGTTCCACTGTTATATGTATGGTTGTTATAATAGCATGGACCAGCACATGATGGACAGCAGCTGTCGAGTCGAGGTACTGGGTGGGAACAATGATCTCCACAATTTTCTGCCGAGCATGACTGATAAAAGGATAGAAAAATAATATTTAACAATCATTAATATCTATAGGAGAATTACAAAGAGTACAATCAGCTGGGATTTTAAAAAATATGCTCATCATATTCTAGACCAGGATGTTAAATCTTAATCACGGTCTCATATTATAATATATGTTTAATCAAGTTACTATTTATAATTAAGGGTGCTACATTACAGTATGGCTTAAAAATTTAAGGGCTGATAAGAACTGTTGGGTTAACCAACCAAGAGACAATAAGATATTCAAATTTTAAATAAAATTACTTCAATGAAGAGGAATGGTTTGTGTTTTGAATATTATAATTGAGTGACCCCAACAAACTTAATATACAGTAATAGAAATACAATTTCACATATGTGTTGTATGTGTGTGATCATTAGATTTTTTGTTGCTTGTCCAAAAAGTGGCATGCTATGTATTCAATGTAATTGATTGTAAAATTAATGAATCCAATTGCATTCTATAGATTATCATTTGCATTACCACATTTTCTGAATTAAGTTGACATATTAAAAATTGGCTATAGTTATTGTCCTCAATGTCTTTCGTGTTTACATCAGAGCAATGCCAATTTCTTTCGATATCTCCCTAATGCAGTAAACTTAAAAATAAAAGAGGCGTTGCAGTATCTTATATTAAAAAAATATTTCATCTGTGAACTAATTTAATGTATGAATTTTACCCAATTTATAGACGTAATATAATAAACAATTTACTGTTGTTCCACTTTCCAAACATGTACATTCTTGACATATACCATCATAATCATCTTGAATCCATTTTGTTCCCGGTTTTTGTGACTTACCATCCACTACACATTCTACAATGAAAAATTAATAATAGTCTCAGAAAAACAATCATATTCGGTCATTTGTTTATGAAACCTTACTGCTTCTTACGCTACAAACAGTCTGATCTGTCTCCACCATACAAGTGCATGCATTTGGAACTGGTTAACAATCCCATACTCATCCTGAACTGTTAACTGAAAGGAGGGACTGTGTTTTGTCATATGACTGAGAGTCTTATCACCTTCCCCGACATTTGCAAAGTAATCATTTAAGACCTCATGACATCTAATAGTAGAGAACCTGCAGCCTAGTGTAAGATATATTTTTACAATTGCTTTATCCATAACTTACCACTCGTTTGTTGTTGAGGACATGTTGGGCAGCAGCTTCCCCTTACTGGTTGTGGATTATCACAAGCAGGTTTGGGACATTCCTTGAATTTACAAATGATATTACCACGGTGACACGAACATTGTTTACAATTGTTATCTTTCGGAATGAAAAACTCACCTTCTTCGCGTCTAATTCCCTAAAAGTCAAAGGTGGCAATGGTAAAAATTCACTATCCACTGCAATATTGATATAATACCTGAAAAACAACACTCAACCTCATCGATATATTGAACTATATGCAAATTAAAATTTGGTTTTCAATTATTTTATCAAATTGATATCAAACAAATTGGTGTATTTTGGTAACTCACATAACCAGAATATTTATAATTCAATTAATATGCTTGAGTAAATTTAAAAATTGAACAAAATTTGACGACACAAAAAGGAATGGTACATATATTGAAATGATGCATGACCTTGTTGTTTTTGATTAGATATTGAAATGTTGATATCATTTTGGGTACATGTAAAAAAACTGGTTTGCAACATTCATAAGAAGAATGTACTGATATATTGCAATTCTGTATAAAAAACCATTCCAAATATTTATGTACCTGATACAAACATGCACTACAATCTGGACAACATTGAGATTGGGCAACAGGATTTACACATCTAACATCACATCTCTGTCTGACACATCTTATATTTCCGGACTAAAACAAAAAGAAATAGCAAAAAGGTCGAGCATTGCTACCGATATACATTTTAAATATAGCTATAAATTTCGAAGTGTAGCCCTCAGTAATAAGGCTATTGTTGCTTAAATGAAGGGATTAGAAAATGATAAGAAAAATTGAATTATAGTTTTAAAAAAATTAGTTTTAAATTGAATAAACTGTGTTGAAAGATCTTGCTTCTTCAAACCACAATCAATATCAAATATGTGGTTGTTCGTATGAAACCTCATTTGGAACAAACGTGTGATAACTTTTTATTTGTTTCAAATGTTTACCAAACTACAAGTCAAAACATTAAGATGTCATAGAAATTTAAAAATATTTGAACATGGAAATGTATTCGAACTCAATTTTAATATTTCAATATATCATTTGATAATTACATAACAAAATTTTAAAAATGAATATTTCAGGAATTAAATATTTTCATTATATATAAAATGTATTAAATAAAAAGAATCTGATTAAACTATAAGAGAAATTTATTTTAAGGTAACATCTGTTTCTGCAATAACTCATTTCACTGTAACTTAAATAAGTAAATTATATCTATATATTTATATTATGATACTTAATATCTATATTTTAGTTATGATGCTTACAGAACACGAGCATTTTGAACATGGATCTGAATCTAATGTGAAAGTTGCACCATCTTCATATGTTTGTCCTTCCACGTGGCAAGTACCAAGGCATTTTGCACAACATTCACCATCAGACAATATTGGATTAGCACATGGTGTTGGTTCACATCGCACTCTGGTACAGGTAACAGTTCCTGACTAATAAATAAAGTGAAATGCCAATAAAATGAATTATTAAAGTTTATTAAAATTATTATTGATTTTTGAAAATAATTTATACAACATAAACAAAAAAGCAACACACACTCAAAAACAAACTAGAAAAGTTGTATACCACTAATAAATGATAATAAAAATATGTTACCATCTAATCATCATATTGAATTCTGCTTATATCTATTATATTGTCATGAAACAAGAGGTCAAACAAAAACACTGTGGGTATCTGGACGTGCCTAATTTAAATATTCAACATGATTTAACCAATAAATGTTCTCACCTGACACACACACTCATTACATTTGTTAGCAGGGTCGGTAAATCTGTCTTGTTCTTCATGATCGACTCCACCATAACTGCAACTAGCACATGTTCTGCATCCACATTCATTCGTGGAGGGATGTGTACAGGATACAGCAGCACATGTTTGACTTTCACAAACTACATTACCATCCTGTCATGTAAAAAATTGTATTCAAGATGTATTTCAAAAACTGTTTATTAAACCATTTAGTAGTCAATATAATTAAAGACAACCAACAACAAAAGCTTTATAGACACAGCTTGTGTGTTGTGGTTTACAATATGCAACTGACTCTTTAAATGTTTTTTGGGGTGGAAAATGGATGCTTATCCCATACCTGACATTCACATGAGTTGCATCTGTCTTCCAAATCACCAAACACATCACCATGATTATAAGTAACACTTCCATATAAGCACTTATCACAATGTGGACAATCACAATCATCTTTTACTGGATGTGTGCATGATGATACAGGACAAGATCGTTTGCCACAAATAACGTTTCCATTCTAAATAACAATTTAGTTAGATGTTGATTTGTGTAATTAGTCCACTTCTATTAATATAGCAAAAATTGGAGATCTCAAAATAAATTAACTTAACCAATATTTCCATTTCAAAACAATCATTTAAGGTTGTAATTTAAATTCAATTTCCATCAAATTTTAATGAAATGCAATTGTTTTATCTGTTGAGTTTGTAAAGCTTTGTTCCAACAGTGTTTCACAAAAGTTTATCTCGACCAAAAAAAAACATTCATACTTACTGAACAATAGCAGTCAGAGCATTTTTCATTTTCTGGATTAGCAAAAGTTTCCTTGTTACTGCGAGATATTCCATTATATAAGCAACCAGTGCAAATTGGACAACCACATTCGTTAACAACCGGATTCCTGTTTGAACGATAGATTGCCATTTTAATTCAAACAAAGCCACACCTTGAGTAAGCAAATTTTGTTAAGCTGACCTTGTTTATGACTGATCACAAAAATCAATGTGTATGCAGCATTGTTTTCAATGGAAGTACATGAAAACCCTTGGGAGAAATTTTGGAAAGAATGCATCATTCACCTGCAATTCACTTTAGGACAAGGTTTGTCTTTGCACACAATTGATCCAGCATCGCATACACATAATCTGCATCCATGTTTGTCACTTGGCAAAATAAACATTCCATCAGTTTGTTTGTATAGTTTTTCATCGAGTAGGCAATCTTCACCACATTTAGGACAACATGATGAATCCTTAAAACGAAAATATCATTGAGATTTAGATGAATTAGGATTGTCAAATCATTCAATTTCATCTAATCTAACCTAATTTTTTATAAAATTTATTCTAAGCATAAAATTCAATAATACTAAAGGACCAGGGGATCGGGAATGTTATCCACTTGGATAAATAAGGAGTGATTGCTTAACTATTTGGATATCACAGTCTAAGATATCCTCTTCAATCCAAGTCAGCCAATCAATATGTAATAATTAAAGATGGTTGAAAGATTGATAATGGTCATTCTCAGTAGCATCATATGTTTCACTGGCTTCATGCACAAAGCTTGTATAAAGTCATCAATTATTTAATAAAACAAAATATATTACATCCGGATCTAGAGGATGAGTGCATGGAATTCGACACTGCTTCTGTGTGCAATGAATACTGCCCTCATCACATGTACAAATATTACATTTATCATCAGGATCTTGAAATGATGTTCCATCATCATAATTATTTTCACCATACCTACATCCTGTAAATACATAAGTTATGTGGTTATGTGGCAAGCAGGTGCAAATATCAGATCCTTGAGAATGTGACAGTCAAACAGTTTAGTCAAACGATATACGCACAACATACCGTAATGGGTCTGAATTTCAACTAGTTTGCATTCTATAGATAAAATATTGAAACTGCAGCTATACGTAATGAAAATCCATAAATTGTGAAATACCTCCACAATATTTAAAAATAAACAAAAACTTTTTTGAAATGATTGGCCCATGTCTACTGGATGCTTACATTTTTCATGTAACACTTGCAAAAATATCACTCACATAAATTGGATTATATTGAGCCTAAGCTTACTGAAATAATATGAAACGAAAAATGAATAATATTCAAATTTCTTTTGTAAATTGGGCGTCACAAATAAAATAAATATTATACAAGTCAACAACCCATAAAAACATCACCATTGCATGTAGGGCAACATTCATCATCACTCGGATGCGTACAATCGACTGGTTCACATTTTCTTTTTTTACATGTGACATCACCATCCATGCACTGACATTCATTACATAAACCTCCATTTTGTTTTTTAACTACTTGATTGTTTTTGTATTTGACACCATCAATGTAACAGCCTGAAATTTATTTTATTTTATTTAGTGTTTGATTTAAAATGAAAAATTATCACTATACAGTTTGAGGCAATTTGAACTATGCAAAAGAAACCTACCATGATTGCATGAAAAACAACACCCAACTCTAACAGGCATAGCGCATGATACTGATGAACATTTTACAGGTCGACAAGAAATTACACCATCAGAGCAACTGCATACTTGGCATCCATGTTTGAATTGTTTCCCATGCAACATTTCTTCACCCCTGAACTGGCAACTCCTATAAAAATGAATGAAATACTTTTTATGAAACAAAGATATGTCACCCAATAATACTGAGAGCCTGACAGCCAATGCTGAGCTTCCATAGTTGCTATTGCTTTTTTTTTTTTTGATAAAAAATAAGGCTATAATCACATCATATTATTATACTTATATGGCAGTTTTGAATCTATCAGCAAAAAAAACTTTTGCAGTATCTTTGCATTAAAATAAGTATTGAAGCATGAAATTCACAATCATCAAAAAATTAATTAAACATGATACAACTCATCGAAAACAACAGCACAAAAATATAATTTTTTAAAATATTACCTCAGAAGACCAGGACATTCCAAACAACACTTTCCATCGGGTTTGTTAGGGTTTTCACAAGTTGGTGCTTTGCATCTTTCCCGAATACAAACAATATTCCCATCCTGAATGACAAAATTATTGAAGAAGAAAGTTATCACAAGTTTTTTACTTACAAAGGGTATTGGTATATTGTGTGATAAAATCTTGTGTTTTAGGTTTTATAAGTGGCAGATGATGCCAAGATTATTGACCAAAATCATATTCGTATGATTAACATAGCATATTTATTCCACAAAATATATAGTTAATACTTTTGATTTGTTTTACTAATATTTGATTCATGCGAATACATCATACACACAAGTTCAGAATATACTCACATTACAGGTGCATATTCTACAAAAATCGGTAGTTTGTCGAACACTTTCTCCATTTCTTACAATGCTGCCACGGTATTTACAATCACCACATGCATCTCTGCAACATCCACCAGGAATTGTTGAAGGATGAGAGCAACCAACATCTCTAGTACATCGATGTCTTCTGCATTTTACAGTTCCATCTGGATGATTTTTGAAAATTTTATATTATAAAAGGCATACCACATAAATATTGAATAAAATACTATGAATAAGATAATGGCATACTTAAATGAGCAATATGAAAGTGCGGGATCACTAGCGAAATAATAAAAAGGTTCCTAACTATTTAATATGTGTTTTTTAAACATAAGAATCACATATTATTTGGGCTATACTGATTCTTATAAAATAGTGTAGCTAAAACTACCAATGAAGCTAATATCTAACTGATCATAGCTTATTTCTAACACAAAGCAGCAGCATATAGATTCTAGATTACTTATATTCTAACAAAAGCAACAAAGAGAAAGATTATGGTAAGCTTTATTAGAGTGTGAACTGATCTTCACTTGATTTTTTACATTAAAAAAATAGGTACTCCCATATGTGAACCAAGTAGTATGTGTACCAGGTCAGGGTTAGGCCATAATTTCAGGTACAAATACTAAGAGAGTCACTTGGCTAGTCCTCGAACTTGTAATAGAACTAAAATAAGGAAAATTGGAATAAAATTATGGCCTAACCCTAACCTGGTACACATACTATGTTCAGGTGTCCGCCATCTTAGTTCACATCCTACGGGAGCATAAAAAAATCCAGCTACCATTCCCTGGTATCTCTCTTCATTCAATACTTTCCATTTATCATGCTCATTCAAAACCTTTTTCAACTCACCAGTGCATGTGCATTGTTTGCAATTTTCCCTTGGGTGTTCCACGCTTTGACCATTCAATATCGAGATACCCAGCAATTCACAGTCCAAAGAGCATGAACGACAGCAAGCTCCAGTGAGCAACACTTGATTTTCACATTCTAGTTCAGGACAACTTCGTCTGATACATGATACAGTACCTGACTTTTTTAAAAAAAAGGTACTGTCAGAGATCAGTCTCAGTCCTACAATATTAATAAATTTGTGAGGTATATTTTCTCATATCTATCAAGAAGAAATATATACCAGATACTTACCATACATGTACATTTATGGCAACGATCTGTAAGACTATGAAATTCCTGTCCATCTGAATAGGTCTCACCATTATATAAGCATTTGTTGCAAGTGGGACAACATCGATTTGGTGGCTGTTTGTTAATAAAATCGAAATTTAATGTCAACTTTATTATCTTTATTATTTTTTTTACAGATAATATGAAGGTTCTCATTTTTCTTTTATTCCCATATGCAAAATATTACCTTGAAAGGATGAGAACACGAAACAGTGGAACAAGAAACAGGATGACATTGAACACTTCCGAATGAGCATTCACAGTTAGTACATGAATCTGATTTCCATCTCTCACCATTGCTATACCTTCTTCCATTTGTAACACAATCTGTATAATGATAGAATAGAATACTAATGTAATATGGAATTCATTTGCTTATCCTTTTTCTATCTTTCGCATATATATACAGTGATACCTTGATAGTCGAACGACTCAAAACTCGAAAAATTCGGCAGTCAACAAAAATAAGTGTATCAAAAATGCTGCAGTACTCAAATGAAAATTCAAATCGCAAACACTGAACAGAGCATGTGGCCAAGAGAGATGAAGCCATCCAAACTGTGCATCTTGGCTGCCTCTCGATCATTCAACAAGCATTAGTTCTAGTCATGAAGTTAACGGGATAACACATGTTGAAATGTTTTGGGGATTTAGTGCTTTTTCTCTTTTTTCGCCGCTTTATATATTTTTATATCTTTATAATATTTAAATTGAGTTATGTACATATTCAAAAATTATTGTTGTTTAGGTACACATTTTATTAACATTTTGGGTGGTTCGGAATCCCTAAGAATGCATTAAAATAATCACCAATGTTTCTAATGACAAAAAAAGTTTTGGTACTGGAACAAATCAGTAGTCAAACAGCATTATGTTCGACTACTGAGGTATCACTGTATGTATATATATATATATATATATATAGGATTATAAAATATCTTGTTTATAAGTTAATTATTTTGAACAAAAATATAATGTATTCTTGCACAATATGACTGGAATTGTGGTCGTTACACTTTTTATACAGTAATTATAATCCATAAAACAAAATTGAGCCCATGATTATCTTCCAAGATGTAAATATGATGACAATGACCAATTTTTTGTGACCACATACATAATAATAAGCTTGCTTCTGACACTGCAAAAATTTATTAAAATAAAACAAACAACCAACCTTCGCAAGTTGCACAACAAGATCCAGGTTTACGAACTGGATTTGTACAGGAAATAGATGAACATTTCTTCATTTCACATGTGACGGTGCCAGACTGAAACATATTGGATAATGATTAATGCTGTATCTAAGAGTAATCTAACTAAAAGAAGAAACATTAACGCTTTGGATGCTTTTGCAAATTCAAAAGGTATAATGTATATTAGGAAATTTGTTAAATGGTTCACATATTTCAAATCGATGTTCTTCCAATGGCTCACAAAAATTGGAAAATCTCATACAAATAACATTTTAAATTTGATAGCACATTGAAAACTCTTTTATATAGCAAACAGCAGAAAAAATATCTAAAATGAACAAAAATATAGCAACATGAAAAGTATACTTCTCGAGAATGGAAAGGGGCTCATTCTTTGTTCAAAGATTTTTTGAATAGTACATAATGCGAATAGTAAATAATTCTCGCCTAGTTGAACTTTAAAGCACTACAGTTTTTGCTTACAAGGCAAGTGCAAGTCAAGCATGGTGAAGAACTGCTTGGCGTGAAAGTTGTTCCATTATTGTAGTTTCTTCTTTCATATTCACATGAGTCACAGCTAAGACAACACTGACTTCGAGTTCTGCCAGGATGCGAACACAACATTCTTTTACAGCTCAAGTCAAGTCTGTCACAGTTCACTCGACCCCCCTTAAATATGATCTCTGAATTAGTTTTGTTTTATATACTGTTCTTATCAATATGAATAATAATTTGTTAAAAAAATCAACTTATTAATATTCAATAATTTTTAAACTTACTTATTCAGGTAAAAAGTTTTACATATCAGAGTTAAAAATTCCTCTCACCCTTTTCTCCAAAAATAATGATAAGTATCATAAGACACTTACTTTAAGATGGAGAGAAATATATTGACACAACATACAATCTTGTGAAGCAAAATAAATATATTGAGTCTACTCAATTTTTACTGATTAATTTTTCCATAAACATTGGAATGTCAATTGACAGAAACAGGCCATTAGGGGAATAAAAATAGTGAGAGCGATACCAACCATACAAGTGCAATTTCGACATGGGTCTCTCACTGGTACAAATACAGCTTCATCATCATAAGTTTGTCCATCATATTCACATGTTGCACAACTAAATAGAACACAAATAATTTGTTCATTCAATTGAATTGGTTGAAAAAAATCAATTATAAAATCATTTCCATCATACCTAGGACAACAATCGCCCAATTTTTTCACTGGATTCCTGCACTGTATGCTTGGACACGGGTTCTCTCGACAAATGACATTTCCTTTCTGAAAAACAAAGCTAACATATTATTTCTGGTATTTCAAATATTCTGTTGGAATGAGTTTGATAATAATAGCAATTCTTAAGCATCAATCTCTTGCATTTGGGTTTGTGAGGTTCAAGTATGCATAGAGCTAACTTTACTGAGGAGGTGCATGCATTTAATTTATGCAAATTCATCAAGATCAGTTTCTAAAACATTTGAAGTATGAAAACTTATAAAATCTATACCATGCATTGACATGTTGAGCAAGAACTTTCTGGTTCTGCCATTTCTCCATTATCATAGTTTTGGCCACGATATGAACAGCCATTACATGTTGGACAACAAGTTCCCGGAGGAGTACTTGGATAATCACATCTTGCAGCAGGACAATACTCATCAAAACAATCAATTGTGCCTTCCTGTTGTAAAAAAAATAAACCTTTAGTTATCTTCTAAGAAATTACACAAGCTTTGTAATATGTGATTGCTAATGCTATGTGTAAACAACGTTGATGATCCACTTTTGGAGAAACTCATTTAAAAATTTCAGCATGTTATACATTGCATGATGAGAATATTTAGAGACTGCTTAAAATATATTTCTGATTTGCAAAATTTTGGGTTGTTATAACTGAGTTTCATTTCAGCATATCTGGTACTAAAACTAGGGCAGTGGCAACGCATGTTAGTAAGAACAAATTTTAATTTATGCCAAATTATAGTAGGAATTTGGGGAATATTATAGCCACATTAGTGCAGAGTGCAATAGTACAATTTAGGGAATATTTTAATCAAATTATTGCGTTCGAGATTAGTACAACATAGAGCAAGGAATATAAAAAACACAATTTAGAAAGCAAAGAATATTGAATTCCTGATATCAATTTGATATGAAAATAGATTGTCTAACACGAGGAGTGCATTATTACTCATATAGCAATGGATAATTTTCTTTTAAGAGGTCATGATAATGTTCAACATTTGAATTTAACTGCACTTACTACACATGAGCAGGTTGTACAAGGATCTTGAGAAATTTTCCAAGATGAACCATGCTCTCTCAATGCTCCTTCATATACACAAGACTTGCACTGAGGACAACATTCTCCAACAGGCGTCTCTAAAACTCTACATGTCACTTCTGGACATACAGTCGTTGAACATATCACATTTCCACTCTAAAAATGAGAATTAGGATATGATTAATAAAATTTGACATACCGTATTTGCTCGTTTTGTAGCCCGGGCCCATATTTTTTTAACCAAACTCACTAACCGGGCCCTTATTCAAAGCGGCCCTAATTCAAGCATGGGCGCTTGTTATTTTTAAAGTAAATTATACACAAAAATTTAAAAAAAAACATATCTAAATAGATAAGATCGATCGTTACAATAATTAATACTGTATATTGTCATTCCCAGTTCTCAAGTATGATTTAAACGAGAATAACAAAAATTTTGACTTTTTCTATGTGCCGCAGGTACAAATCCGCAAAAGAAGAAAAGTTTTGCGACGCCCTATCAATATTGAAACGTCTCACTTAGGCGTCGCGACGCCCAGTTTGAGAACCACGGTGTTACGTAATCAATGCTATCTGTTATGTAATTTGATGCCTAAGGCGTGAGTGTTATCTACTAGCGCTTAAAATTCAACAGCGTTGTGACAAAAGCGCTTATTGTTCTCCAGTCTCCACCACTGAAAAATCAGCTTTTACATCGAGGCGGGTATTCGAACACCGGCCCCTATTTATTTTTATGTTCTGTCCACACGGGCGGCTATTCAAACGGGCCCTTAATCAAGATCGGGCGTTAAAACGAGCATATACGGTATATGGGATTATTGCTAAATTTTACACATAGCCTATTTAACTGAAACACCATCGAAGTTGAATTGACATTTCAGCAACATTATACTTTTAGTAGTATTATGACAAAACATTCAACCTGGCATGAGCATCTTTGGCATGCATCATATGGATCACTGAATGGTTCCAAATGTTGAAAAATCTTTCCATGATACGAACACTGAGAGCAATCTGGACAACACTGGCCTCTATGAACAACTCCATTAGAGCAATCACTTCGGCAAGGAATGATTTTTCTACATATTTGTTCACCAGCCTAAAAATCAATTAATTTTAGAATGAGGGATATTAACCAACTAAATCAGGCACGAAAAAATTGATGAATAAATGGAATATTCATAGATTTAAGATTGCTTTCTTCAGAAATTTGTTTCATCAGAATGGGCGATATTAAAAGTGAAGTATTTATACAAAAATGTTCGAATTTATTCTAATTTTATTACTCTTTCTTATCCCCTTTCTCTTTATATATAGAAACACTTTTCAATGATTGGTAATTCTGCAAGTTCAAGATTACCAATATTATTATAGCATCATCTTTGAGATATTATATTAATATTGCCAAATTCCGGTATTGTTAGCAAAATAAAACATGTAGTTAAATTGAAATAAATCCATATATATATACACCTGACAAACACATTTTTTACATCGATCTCTACTTGTCCACATTTGCCCTTCACTGAAGACTGTTGAACCCACTTGACAAGTTGCACAGCGTGGGCAACATTCCCCTTCAGGAACAACTGGCCTTGAACAAGAAACTCTTTCACAGGTCTGTCGAATGCAACTTGGTTGTCCATTCTGGCATATAAGTTAGATGCATGCTTAATTAAAACCCAATAAGATAATTTTTTCATGCATAAATAAATGAAATCTTATTTAAAAATTACTTCAATTGCAAGTTTGTCTAACAAATATCATTTTTCAATATTTTGCTGCTTCATGAAAATCACTCTTCCACTCTTTGTAGTACTACAGAGAGTGAATACAGATACCATGACTTCAATCAAACAAATTTATTGGTATACCATTTTTAATTAAAACATGAAAATGAATCATTGAATATAGATAGCAAAATAAATGGCACATGTAAATATTGTAAGTGCTTGAAATTTCCATTGTAATTACATACAAACCAGGCAATTCTAGATTTGTGATGAATGTGTCAGTATGTCAACATTGTGATATATATAATTTTATTATCTTTTATATAAATATAGCTAAAATTAGAATAAATAGCTAACGTTTGTGTGGAAAGATTTAAAAGAAAACAGTTGACTATTCTGTATTAATTTCATTGTAAAGAATACTAAACAAAACCTAACATATGATATTATTCAAGGGTTGAAATGAGAAAATAATTTAGGGCCTCAATAAACATTTGCCCAAAATATAATTGAGAAACAAATTTACTGTGAGGAATAAGATTGATATCTAAAATAACCATTTATTAAGCAAAAAACTCACCAGACATGTACAGTTTAGACATGGGTTGTTTTGAGTCTTGAATGATACGCCATTGTCATAAAAAATACCTTCATACTCACAACCTATAAAAAAGATGTTACACCATAGCAAAGCAGTCATGCAGGTTTTAAGAAAGGAGAAAATCAGAATTCAAAAGAAGAATCAACAGTGAAACCTCACTAGGTTTTGGAAAGGTGAAGTCATAATGATTTCTGCTTTAATTGATGAATAATTTCAATAAAAAAAATTCAACTATTGGATACTTCAAAAATATTGAATTTTTGAAATATTAGCACAGAGTTTTGAATTTTTAACTTCCAAATCTCAGAATAATGTTTAGCGTGAAAAAAGTTTTAGATTACAAAAAGAATTTCGGCATTATCTTCACTTCCACAGAAGTCTGTCTGACGGTCAACCTTTTGGTTGTCATCAATCATACATCGATGCAACACGAATATGATTAAAAAAAAAAATGTGTGTTACGATTACAAACAAAATTAAATCATGCATACAGAAGAAAAGATATTACAAAAATTCAATTTTTGCAGGAACTGATTAAGCTGAAAAATTGGAAATCAAAATATTTTAAAAACTTGTGAAATGCAAAACTGTAGAATCAATGTACATGCAAGAGGATGCACAATAACTTACAAAATTTAAAAAGATATAACAACCAAAGATATGGGACATGGGTATTAGTCTTATTACAAGCTCTGGTCCTTCAATCTCAAATTTTGAGTTTTTCAATCTCACTATCTCACTTTATTAAAAGTTAAGTCAGTCAACAGAATATATGGTTCAATGAATGATTAGAAAGACGTTTTTTTTTGAGCACACATGCATCATCCATGCAAAATTGGCACACCACATTACGAGAATGATGCAGAAAGAAAAGAAAAAAAATTCAACTGAGAATGATTTTAAAAGTCATTTAAAATTCAACCAAAAAAGAATATCATCCAACATTCTAAAAATACCTTTTCAGGACCATGTAACATCTATAATTTACAAAATCCTATATCTGCAGAATATTTCTAACTTGAGTACGACCTGTCATAACAATCCCATAGTCTATTAGTATTTTGAACAATACAGATAGATATGCTATAAATAATATTATATTGCTGTACATAGTTTTATTGATAAAAAAACAATATTATAGTGCAAATACCAAAAAATAAAAGATGACATAAATTGATTTTATTCAACCCTTCTCAAGTTGTACTCGTATATAAATTACTCAAAATTGGAACACCTGAGTGCTATATGGGCAAGACATGAACGAGAGCATGACACCTAATTCAACAATATATGAACAATAGATATAGGACAAAAAATTAGAACATAATAAAGACTAAACAAAACGAAATAGCTGAAGCATTGCAAATTATTATTAAACTATCTGAGGAAAAGATCAATCCTATACACACCATAGGCCGAGGAAGTTAATAGTGGTAAGTATGGTGGTAAGGTGGTTAGTAGTCTAATTGTATGTGATTAAATCTGAATTTGTTATTCGTTATAATTTGGTCAGTTTGTACATGATATATTAATGCATATCCTAATTTAAGTCACATAATTATTTAGAATTCAGCCTCAAAACTTACAAAATACATTTACAGATTGCTTAAAATGTGTTGTTTTGCTAACAAGTCATGACACAGTTCATAACGTGAATGCTCCAATTACGGTAGGTGATTTTAAAAATGTCGAATCATAATACTGAAGTATGACAAAATACTATTGTTTAATGGTATTCACAATACCATGGCCTTCACCATATGACCAGAAATAGAAGCCATTCAAGATAGCTTCCAATAATAATTTTTTATGATAATATTGTATTTCCTAAGTTAAATTTGTAACTTCATCTGTGGTATAATCACTTTCAAAATCATAACCATCGGCATAAATGATATCACTTTCAATATTATATATTTCATCATCATGATCATATATGTGTTCTGTTGAAGTTTTATCTTTGTCTTTGTTTGAAGTTAAATCTTGATCATTGCTACTTTTTTTAAAGGAGGGTTTATCATGAGATTTCTTTCTGAACTTTCGATTATTCTTTACTTTGTGCGAATGATGCTTGCTTTTGTGATTTGACCTGGGTATATGATCAGGCATGTCTTGTTGATATTCTTCATTAATAAAATCAAACTCGATGCGTTGGTTGGTTTTACTATATAATACATCTACTTCCTCGGGTTTTGCCAGAAATGTTTTGCTTTCTGCTTCATTTTTCATCAATGTCTTTGATAGAGCATCGTCATCAAAATCCTCAAGATTTATTGGTTCATGCTCTGAAGAGAGCAAATCATCCAGATTCAAATCCATCTTACTCAAAATATCGGTTTCTAAAAGTGACTCATCAAAATCATAGTCATAATCATAATAGTAGCTAAAATTACTAGAGATAGATTCTTCAGCATCTGTATATTCGTTCCTTTCATCAGTAATATTCACTAATGAAGAATTGTTAGTAATGATTTTTCTCTGGTCTAACTTTTTCTCCGAAATATTTTCAACTTGTAATTTGATGTTTTCAATAGATTTTAAATATTCTTGATAAACTGATTGAGGATCTTTGTATTCTTCATCAGTTTCACTTTTAAAACCATCCAACTCATTATAATCATATTCTTCATATTGATAATCATATTCAGGAATAGTCAGACTATTTGAATCCAATTCATCCACATATGTTTTCGGATTATGATCAAATCTAGTTTTGTTATTTTCCTCAGACTTCAAAACCGAGTTGAGTGTGAAGTCATTGATTTTAGTTTCATTAGTTCTTGCTTTGTTACGAAAAACTAGAGTGAGTTCAGAATGAGAATCTGGAAAGTTTATACCTATGTGTGAGTTAGTAAATGATGAAATAAATTATGCTGTCAGTCATTCACAGTTGTAGCAAGCTAACTGTATTATAATGATATATCAACATACTAGAAATTGATTCAACACCCAACCACATATTTCAGTGATATACCGGTAAATGATAATACTGAAGCAAAATATATCCTATCCTGTTTATATGAATCATTCCAAATTATAAATCGAAATAAACATGCAGTAATGCAAAAATTCAAGCTGGTAAAAAGTTAGTCATAAACAAACTTAATGAATACCACATGTAAAATACATTCGCATACTGACAAAATGTCATGCAATATGATGTCATAATATATCTTCAACATTAGAAACAGGAATACAAACTCACCTTTTCTACATCTCAAGCAACAAGAACCAGGAGGCTTCTCCTTATGTTTACAATTAAGTGGTGGGCATTGTTGTGTTGTGCACATGACATTTCCAAACTAAAAATGTTTCGAGTACTGTTTTCAAGTCATATATATATATATATATACATATATGTTAATTCTCCAAGCCATGAACAACACGATTGATAATTACTGTAAAAACTAGATTAATTTAAATAAAGAAAATGTATTCACCCGACATTTACATTGACTGCATGAATCAATCATGAAGTTTTGTTGATGACGATAATTTTTTCCTTTATATTCACAACCCATACATTTTGGACAACAATCTCCTGCACCAGTTCGCGGGTGACTGCACTGAAGCACAGGACATTGATTTCGAGAGCAAATGATTCTATCCGCCTAAAATGCATTACACCAAGTTAATCAATATAATAATTTTTTTGCTTTTCAATCACGATCAAGAACCGAAACGAAAAGATAAAATCGTACAGCCCCATATTGTTATGCACATAAATTATACATATTGGCTCAGAGAAAACAGATGATAAGTTTTGTAAACTTATTTTTTAAACTAGTCAAGACTATGTTTAAGATAACAATGCAATATTAGGATTTTGAAGTACATGTTATCAGTGTATCATCATATTATCCATAGATATTAAGGCTTACTACACAACTGCAGTTGTGACATTTATCCATTGCCCAGGATTCCAAAGCTTTGTGTTCTCGACATTCTGTAGAACATGTAGGACAGCATTCCCCAGGAAGTTTGACAGGTTGTGCACATTTGACAGGTTCACAGTTTGTAACAGTATCATGACACATGACTGATCCATCAATACATTCACATGACTGACACTCATTGGGTTTGAATGTTATTCCATTTCGGTATATTCTATTTTCATATTCACAGTCTGAAAATAGTTGATTTGTGTTTATTATTGCTGCGTTTTGATTTATCAAAGCTGATTTTTGTGTAAAATAAACAACTATATGCAAAATATTAAAAGCACAAGTCAAATACCATAGGTGCTATGATAAATGCAACAAACATTTCAGATTTTAAAATTTTCATGCATCTATAAATTGAAATATGAACTTTAATGGAAGTCAAAACAAAAATGTAAATTCGTACTTACTATCACAAACATCACAACAACCATCTTGTCCAGGAGCAGGATGAGTGCAAGCATGAGAAGGACAAGCCATTGGTGAACAGGAAATTAGACCTGCTTGACAAACACATGTGTCACAACCATCATGCCATGTTGATCCTTCATTCTGTGTTTCACCACTATTTGATACACAACCTTGGAAGATGATGGTAAAAATTGAATCATGAGTTTAGTAATTTTACAGTCAATATTTGCAAAAATACTATTACAAATTTCGCAAACAAAATAAAATCAATATCTCTTACCATAGCACTGATATATTTCGCCCGTTTTTCCATTGTAAAATTCTGGGTAACATGCTCCACAGTTTTTCATTCTGCATTGTGCAGTTGGATGACTTGCACATGATGACCGAGCACATTTATCTTCTTTACAATCAAGAAGCTGTGTTCCTAACATGGAAAATAATAAATTACAAAATTGTGACTGTTTCTAAGCATCATTACATTTGCTACCTAATGAAGTAATTAAACATTCGAGCAACAATCTTTAGAAAACACTGAACTATTAGTACAGTAAATTCAATCATAATCTAATTCCCATAAGCACCATATATATAGACTGAGATCATTGTTGAAAAATAGCCTACTAAAGAGCATATCAAATAGGAGAATTTTTGACCTCTATGCATTCCTCAACTTGATACCTAATTAACACTCACCTAGTGGGCAACCAGAAAACCAGTTCATCTCAAAGCAGAATTGCCAATCAGGAGTGATTGGTAACCAGAGAAGTTCTTCTGTAACTGAAGATTTTCGAGGTTCCCATGCTTCATCAATTTCATGATCTTCTTTCCACATAGTTTCAAAATTTCGACCCAATGACATCTAATATTGCCAATATTTGTTAGCAATGTTTAGGTCATGCATCTAACTGTTTTTATATATTCAAAAGCCCTCAATTAAAACAATACTATGCCTATATAAGTAAAAGAACAAAAAAAGACTCCATGAAAATATAGTAGATATTCCAAACAATGGCAACTGTTTTAATTTACACATTGTCCTCAAAATCAGAGAGTTGATGTGAAAAGCCCAAAAATACCAATAGTAAGTTTAAAATATATAAATTATATTGCAAACCTTATCCATCCATATGTGTGAGGCCCAAAATTCCGGTAAAGGAGTTATAGGTGGACAAATTCTTTTTATATTCTTCAACATATCCTTGTTTAATACAGATAGCTGCTCTTTCACATGGTAGAAGTATCTCATGTAATGAGGTCCATAAAAGTAATAGTCACAATTATCCAAATCCAATCTTTTATTATTGAATCCAAATGCATCAAACCTAACAAATTGAGCATTAATTAGAATCTTGTCAATGCTGCAGAAACTGGAAAACTAAGTAAAACTAATCTCCTATCATTAAATGTTTAAATGAATCTAAATAATATGATTAACTAAACACAAATAATTTGTTGAATATGCGTTTAATTGTTTTATTTCTAATGATATGGTAATAGTAAAATCGCTGCAAGTTGCCAAAAAAAAATAGTGACTTTATAACAGTTTTTTCTCCATCATCATTACAAATAAACAAAGATAACATTTGCTAAGATAAATTGTAACAAATAATCTTGTCATAGTCAAAAACTAAGCTTCATTTTTAGGAAGCAAAATATTATAAAATCATAGAAAGAGTACCAGTAGTAATGGAATATCTTACCCTTTATGATCAAAGCCATTTTTATCATATCCATATTGATTATAACCATATCTATCAAACAAAGATGCTCCATAACCTTGGTCGAACCCAGGAGCAAAGGACATATTCCTGAATAATCCAAATGGTGTTTTACCATCTCGATCAAAACCATATCTATCATAGCCTGACTCATCAAAATTCTCAATGTCAAAACCATCTCTAAAAACAAAATTTAAAAAAATCAAAAAGCTTGTTTTATAAGTTTATTTCAAAATTTCAGTTTATCTAACTTTGCGTTTAAGTAAGTTTAGATGAATTATCTTAAAATGAATTGTAGCGAGGCAGAATTGAGAAATAAATTCATTTCTCATCTCTAGCACAGGCTTAATATTATTAAATATAAATATAATATAATGATTTAGAAATTTTTTTATATATAAACTTTGGCTCAATTTACCGATTAAAGTTATATGTATTAAAATTATATCTGTCCCAATCAGAGCTGTCAAATCCAGAACGTTGGTAACCTTGTACATCATATCCTGACTTGTCATATAGGTTACGAGTGTCAGGCCTTCCTGATCTATCGATTCCCTTGATATTAAATCCATGTACATCGAAACCTAAAGCATAAAATTACAAAGAAACAATTGTTTCTCACACATCAAAATAGTTATGAAAATATATATGACTGGGTCCATCTAAAATCAGTGGAAATTTTGTATTAGAAAAGCTAAAAAAACAGCATTTTATTGAGTTGTGTATCATTTGTTCTACTTGCATTAACCTAACTGATTAAAAACATTTCAACTTCACTTGCATTACTCGAGGCGGTTATGGTTCAAAAAATTATAAATGTATCCAATCCTACAAATTATGCTATATATTAGTGCAGAAGTGGAGCAAGAGTTACTAAAGTATGTGATTTTCAGATGCTATTACAGGAAAATAATGAGTGTTATCTGTCATTCGGTTTATCAGATTTGAATTCAACTGTGCATTATAAATTTACCTCGGTCATCAAAGCCATGTCTGTCCAGTCCTTGACTATCTCTCCCTAATGGTGGCAATCCAACCTGTTTAGTTCGATTACAAGGAGATCCAATCGTGGGTGGAATGTATATAACACACATTTGCAGTTCTGATGACAATACATCATCTGGTGAAGCCAAAAATGGCATCATCCTCACATACCGATGTTGAGAAGGAAATCTGGTAATTCCTAAAATATTAAAAAAATTCAAATTAGCTAACATAAAAATGATTTGAATTGTTAAATGATCTTTATATATACAGACAGTAAAAATAGTTCCTTGCACAAAACTTTATTATATTATTCATGCAAGGCATCAAAACTTCAATCCTTTACACGCAATCTACATCTATAGTAAATAAAGTATCAAAGTCAAACATAACTTACCCATTGGATTATTTTCTTGCCATCGGTTCCAGATGTAATCCATGAATGCCCAATGTGACAAATATATTGGATCATAAGGACTAAATGGTGAAGCCATATGACCACCAACCCACACATGAAATAATGCTGACATCATTTCTAACTGAAACCTGTATCAGCAATATATACATCTCAGATAGAAAATTGGATTACAGTGTCAAAAAAAGGTAATTCTTTTGATTATATAGTTATTTATCAGCCAATAGCTTGCAAGCCGCAATAATTGAAAGCACTTCTATGCAACTCAGATTCGAAATATAGTTCAGGACACCAAAATGACATGCATGGTGAAAAAACAACTACTGAGCATAGCAATGGACTGACTCAATATTTTCTACATCATGAATTCCCGAATCACAACCTGTGGTACATGTACCACCCACTTGTGGTAGGTTGGAGCTTTACATGTGATATGCAAGATATTTTTGAAAAATGCAATATTTGCAAAGTATTTGTTTTGATATAAATTAATTTAAACACAGAAAAAATGTGGTAAGATGAATTTGACTTGTATTGTATTAGGTAGTATGCATCCATGAGTGGTACTCAGCAAACAAGAAAAGTTTGGGAACCCCTGGCTGTTATACATGCTATTCATATTGTTATTACATTATTGGCTTAACTATCGGTAAAGTAATTTGGAGACATAGAATTATATTTATAAACATCTTACAATTATTAGTTGCCAAGGTGCTGATAAAAAACCAACCTACTATAATACAGCTGCTAATTATTAATCTTAAAATTAGCTGAAAATATTCAAAATAGTCTCTGCACATCAAGAAATATAACAAATATTTCTATACTTACAAAAAAAATACCCACAAATACCCTTGTAACACCTATAAATATATTTCATGCAAACTGTTTACAAACAGCATATTGCATAAACAAACAATTTTTTGCATATTCTGATGTCAGACTATTTTTGATGATGCTAATTTAGCATCTTAGGCCTCTGTATGCAAATATACATTAGTATTTAATAGTATACAATGTTATCTGATATACTGTCATATAAAAAATCACTGCTGGAGTAAATTTGTTGTCAAGTATACAAAATAAATACCTGAATTTGTCATAATTTTCTTCATGTAACAAGAGATGAAAATTGACTGCATTCGGAAGAGAGACAGATTTGTCAAATTGTCTCTTAATACAGGGATGCCATCTGACTTCTCTGTTGAAAGGATGATGGCTAAAAATGAAGACAAAGTTTTGAAGTCAGGAAAATTTTTAATAATCAAATTACAATAATAGTGATAATTTCTTACTGTACACAATTTGATATTTCCTCTCCATTTCCACCAAAAAATGATGTTTGCCAAATCTTTAAAAAATATAAGTATATGTTAATATCCACACTCCAACAAATTACCTGATACACCGTTCATCTTGGTATAGACTAGAATGATTAAAAAAAATTAGCTTTTAGGATATTTAGGACGAAAACAATAAATATTCATAAAATAAGGGAATGACTAATTTGATTGATAGATGCCAAAAATCTACAAGCATAAAATATTCCCATTCAATAATCCTGTGTTTCATTGTATGCCAACTTTTTTCAATAAAATTACGAAAAATTAAATGTTAATATATTTTTCAAAAAATGGTTAAAGTTAGGTCTAATATAGTATATTAATGTACTTTTATTAGAAATAATGAATGTTATATAATCAATATAAATGAAAAGTGAAATCATCTAATGGTACAAAATCATTTTAATAATTTATAATTTTACTTGTGAATTTTCCAGATTACCAACATCTATAGTCCAGTCAAAGTAAGGAATAAACACTTCACAACTGGATTGTTTCTGGATTTCTTGTTCAACCATTCGCAAAAAGTACCTGTTCCGAATATGATAGGATAGGATTTACATATTTATCCCGGGCAAAGGAAAACCAATAAGACGGTTTAACCATATGACGACTTGATGGTGGAGGAAACCGTAACCGACCGGCGGTTATGTGAACCACCCTACGACGGCGAAGAGTCCAGCAATCCTCTCGCACATAACCATCCCCACGTGTGATTCGAACCTGTGAACCACGCAGAGTAATCAGAGGTGCGATGGCAAGCGTATTTCTAACGCCTAGCACGATGAGCCACACGAAGCTTTAACTCAAAGCCTTCGAGTCAAAAAATAAACATAAAAATGCAAAGGCTTCAGTATATAGAATTACCGTAAATGTCGAACAAACATTTTATATGGTGAACTTAATCATGAATGGTGAAAAATTTATATAGTAGGTACTTAAATTTGCTCAGTTTTTATAAATTTTCTAAATCATTATTGATTACATTGTTTAATCATTAACTTAAGGCAACATCAAATTACATTATATTGAAAGAAACAGTTAACTTACCTATGCCATGGCAACGATGAAGCAACACCATTTGACTTTGGCATATGCTGTGCATGTTGTGTAGCAAATTCTTCCCATTTTCCAGATTTATACAAGGAACGAATTGCAGCACCATATTCTTCTCTTTCATCTAAAATTTCAAATTCCAAAAATTGATAATCCCATTAAATGCTCAATTTCAAAATTTCTTGCCACATACTGGTTGCAATTTGATAATACATAACATAAAATTATACAAAACATATATAAAAATCAGAACAAAACGATCAAACAAGAAACCTAATTTGCATTAACAACATCAACTTGAGATTGAAAAAACATGAATATCCTTGTCAAATATTGGATGAAATGTACTGTAAATGCAGTTCATATTAGTTTGTAGATTAACCCTATGTTGTTTATAAAAATAAAAAATACTTTATGGAATGATAATAACTTATATAGGAGAACATTTCTAAATCAGTTTGCCTTGAGTTAAATCTCTAATTTCTCTTCTTCTTCCCAAGCGTTGGCATGTGCATTCAACAACACCACCAAGAGTGCAAGTGCATGATTCACAACCTTTCTGGAATGTTTCTCCAAAGCGATGCAATTTACCTAAAGATAAAATTACAATGCAATTTTACTCTGGCATTGGCATATATTATTAATAAAAGTTGAGTTTTTTCTTCATTCCTAGAATTGGTGGATTTGTATGTGTGGACTGGCAAGTATATTGTAGTGAAAATTGAATCGGCTATATTGAGAGTACATTTTCACCAATCTTCTTATACCATGTTGTCTGACCAAATTTGGACTTCCTCAGACAAGCATTTACAACAATAAACTGTTACAGAATAAACTTTGCATTGACAAAGCTTTTGACAAGTATACTTCAGGGTGGCTTATCTTGACCGAGCTACACTTTTGAGAGATATTTCCGAATCAATATTTCAAACATATATGATATGTGATAATGGGTTAGCAACAACAATCACTTTATACATACAGTGATGGTCGTAATTAGCCTATGTAGTGTGGGGTGGTGGGCTGGATTGATGTATTACTCATAGTTGTTGTTACTAACTCAAGACATCAACATGGTCAGGCAACAGCATTAAACTAAGATGGTTTGACTCAGTAGTCGAAAAGGGAGGTTTTATCAGAGATGAAGTCAGTCGGTTGATAATTTATCTATTAAAAAAATTATCTAGACCTCTAGCAACAATAATTGACAACAAATTGTATAAAGATTGTGTGAATAAGTCAATCATACCATCTATTGTACAACCACACTCTTCGCCACATTGAATTTCATCACATGTATTCCCAGGTGCAAAACTTATAACCTGGTTAATGCAAAATAACGATGACAACTTCCACATATTGTAGCTATAACAAATATTTAGAAACTTTCTGCATTCATATCTAATAAATCTGAATTATTTAGTTGATAAATTCATTCTAAATATGTGTTTAACCATATTTTGATGATACATTATTATGCAAGTGTAAAATGAAAATTGTAACAAAAAGAATTGATTAGGAAAAATAACTTTAACTTCAATCAAATCAATCAAAGTAGATATTATCCAAATCTATTTTAATTCTACAAGATATTCAAATTTACTTCAAAAGGTATCCCTAGTTGATCAGGATCCTTTAAAGCTTCACATTCCACTAACAAGAGAGATTGGCATCGATATTCGAAGTCATAATAAAGACCCAGCTGGTTGAATCCTTCCTTATCAATCCCATTGCATGTATAACCTTAATTCAAATATAGTTTCTATATGTTGAGTTATATATGTACATTTTAGAAATGGATGGAGTAGTTCCCTTTTTGAAAAATAATTTAAAATAACAGAAAACACACATACAAAAAAGAAAAAATTTGAAGATAGGCATACAAAATTGAGGATTCTCCAAAGTGATGCATTACCAAATCGACTTAATAAATTATTGGTAGCATCTATGTAGGCAAAAAAAATATTCTGTGATAAAAAAACAAAAACCTCATAGCTGCTATTAATTTCTGGATATAAACTAAAAAAATTAGCAACATTAACATAATCACCAGCTCTATCTAGCCCACTCCTGTTATAACCGTCATAGCCGAATTCCATTAATTGATCAAACTCTCCATCTGGATTAAAACCTGTTCTATTGAATCCAGTATCTCTGTGAAATCCAGCTCTGTTATAACCTTGTCGATTATATCTACAATAATTGTTCAAGTTAGCCTTAAAAATGTAAGAAAAAAACCATTTTTATATCTTCAATCGAAAATGATTGGGATTATATCCGAGATGAAAAATCAGCATAAGATACTGAAAAGAACTAGACCAAGAAGACAAAACACATCCATTTATCATTGATTTAGCACTGGACAAGCTTCCATGAAAAATTCTGATATTTTAATACATTTCCCCAAGTACGAAATTACCAACCCATCAACATCATAACCATAAACATCATATCCATCTGGTCCGAATCCTTTTGGTGGAAAAATTCTATTTCCAGTAGGCAATGAGTCGTGTGAAGATTGCTGCTGGCCTCTCCTGATATATAAACATGAAATATTAGAAGTCAGCTTTATTGATGTATTAGTTAAGGTGTGCTACATTGCAATAATGAGATTTCATAATAAAATATAAAGAGAAAAATTAATTTATCTTTTAATCTGCTGCAAACAATTGGTAAACTTTATATTTTTAATCATTTTTTAACTCAAGCCTCATACCATACCCAGAACATACCATGTTCACTTTTTATTTACCAAATTTGGACTTCCTCATACAAGCATTTATAACGATAAAGTGTTACAGAACAAACTTTGCATTGACAAAGCTTTTGACAAGTATACTTCAGGGTGGCTTATCTTGACCGAGCTACACTTTTGAGAGATATTTTCAAATCAATATTTCGAAAATATATGATATGTGATCACGGGTTAGCAACAACAATCACTTTATATATGCAGTGATGGTCGTAATTATCCTATGTAGTGTGGGGTGGTGGATTGGATTGATGTATTACTCATAGTTGTTGTTACTAACTCAGCCTCATACCATACCCAGAACATACCATGTTAACTTTTTATTCAAGCTTATCACAAAATAATACATAAAGAATCCTAACGAAGTAAAAACCAATACTGTTTTTTATTTATTTCAAAATGGCATATGATTCTTACTGAAACAGAACTAAATGAAATATTAGAACAATACAAACATACCTATTATATCCTAGTGCATTAAATCCATATCTGTCAAAACCGTCCCTATCAAATCCAATATTAAATGTTGAATTACGGGGCAGTCGATAACAACATGCACCTAGAGCACATCGCAGGTCACAAGCCTGAAATAAAAATTATGTAAAGTGAATTTTATGCAATCCTATGAACATCTCCACCAACTCTAATAATTAAAACCTTCAGCAAATTAAACAAAATTGGAACATACATACAGATAAAATAGTTAGTTATTAAAGATAATATTTTTAACCTCACTATACTTTTTGTTGAATAACTCATAACACTGCCTTGCCAGTTTAACCAAATTAGCCCAGACTCAATTATAATGGCACATACAGTAGTTATTTTAGACGACAGATTAAAATTGTCTAACTTACCCTTTTACTTGGGAAATTGTTCGAATTTCCTCCACAACCAGAATAGATGAATGCTTCACATGCAGCAGTTTTAAAATTGTAGAAATATCTATTGACAGAAGACTGTAATAAAGCAAATAATATCAAATATCTAATTTAAAATGGTCATCTGCTTATACCATACTGTTTTCAGTTGATAGTGCAAAAATTCTACATTGTTCCTATGAAAAAAATAGTATTTCAGGACTCTGCTTTCCCAAATCTACATATACCTGGCAAGTTCCCACTGCTTTTGAAAGCATGCAAGTGTCAGGAGCAGGTTTTTCACACAGCTGTCCAACATACTCATCTGGACAATGACACTGGAAACGTTCAGATGCTGAAGAATATCTGGATGGTTCACAAGTCCCTCCATTTTGGCATGGATTAGGTGAACAAGGATCTGCAATTGTACAAAAAGAATGTGAGCCAAGATATTTCAAAAAGTCATCGAAATTTCAGTTAGAGAATCCAACACATCAACTCTTTTTTTGCTCGATTAAAATTAGGTATGAATGGTAATGATTACCGTACATTTATTGGAATTAAAAGTTGAGTTTAGCCCAAAAAGTTGAAATGAAAATCTCAATTTTTCTATGGTATGATATAAAATGTTGCCACTTATAGTAACAAACAATCTTACTTTCACAGTTCACACGTCTGCCATCTTGATAAAAATCTGCAGTACAAGATCTTCCACACATATTAATAACACATCGTGCATTTGGATGAAGTGGACAGTGAGTGTTTAGACATGGATTCGTAGAGCATATAGCAGGATAGTTCTTCTCGAGGCATGGACACCATGTCAAAAGCATGTCCACGTCAAAGCAAAACCTATTGGTGAAACAGTTAAAAAGTTATGCATAACTGAAATACATATCCATCAAAAGTAAGTAAGTGCTAGAATTGAACCACACATACAACAATTTTTTTGTTAAATCTTCAAGATTTACCTTTCAGAGAATACTTTATTTGTTTTTTCAATGTTAGATTTTCCAGGCGAGAGTTTTCCACTTTGTCTTGAACTCAAGGAATATGCTGGATTATTTGCCCAATTGAGTGAAATTTGTTTTCGTGGCAATGCTTTAAGTGATCCACATGTGCGAGCAATTGTACTTAGAAATGATGTTTTTTGTGGTGAGAGCATTTCCCAAAGCTGCATTTAAATTAGTAGAAGATTAACTTAAATCAAGAAAGCATGAAAAAAACTCCTTCTTGAATTCTGGTTTTATGAAATTTTTATTAGGAGTGATCGTTATGTATCATGCTAGCAAATTGTATCAATCAAATGATTCCAATTTTGATGTAATACCAACAGTTCATTTATTACTAATGCTTGTTGACTAAAAACAATTACCAGTAGTTATTTGGTCTTATAATACTTCCTATAAATCTGTTCTCAAAACTTTTCATAGTAAATACTCATGCTTATAAGTAATTATCGAACTGTAGTATATATCTGATATGTTTGTATACATTAACTTACCTTATTCCTGATGCTAATAGAATAGGGCCCATTGAAGTGATGATTGCAGATATCAGAATCATAACCTTCAATATCAAACCCAAATCTGTCTAAACCTGTTGGAGTTAGACCTGAGAATGGAAAATGATAAATAGAAATCCTAAGTATTCCTATAATGCACACCAAAAATTCATGCAGAAGTGTTCCTCAATTTACCATCTCTTCCAAAACAGCAATCGTTGAAGCCAGTTTCCCTGTCATATAACTCAGAATTATCAACATTTCCAAATCTATTTCGTCCATAAACATCAAATCCTCTTCTGTCATATCCTTGATCATCCAGGCCATAACGGTTAAAACCAAGTGGGTCAAAACCTTAGTTACAGGAAATAACCCAATAAACTTAAAACAAAACTTTTGTACCAGCTGTACTCCTCTGAGCATTGAGAAGGTAAAATTTTTATTTTTTTTTAATTTTAAGCAATGAACATACAATAAATATAAACACATAATAAATAACAGGTGAGAGCTAATTATTTTTTATTATATAAAAGCTAGAACAATATGAACAAGCACTAATGGTAAATATTCAATGGGAAATATTCTTATGAATATATTCTTATATTCTTTCCTTATCCTAGAAATGAATTGAAAGCTAACCTCCCGCATTTATGTTGCATCTATTTCTTCCTTTCTTGTTGAAACCAAATTTATCAAAACCTCTTCTATCATATCCGGTCCTTGCATATCCTTCTGCATTATATCCATCATATTTGAATAAACCTCTTTTATCTAATCTTCCATATACGTCTTGACCAATGGCATTATAGCCATCTTTATTGAAACCATCTCTAAAAAATAAGACAACACAATATTAGCATATAAAGGGAGATTTATATGTTTGATATTACAAGTAACAATTGAGTATAAAAAAGATGGAAAAAGTCAGGAAGACTATAAGCACATTCTAGTTATATGAGAACTACCGGTATACCAAACAGTGGTTTCAATCCAAAAATTTGATTGATATGATTAAGCTTTTTGTATAAAAGACAGAATAAACATGAATAGTTTTTATAGTAAGTTTCTTTGCTTTAAAATTTGGTAGTTATATTCTGAATTTTATACCAGTTGGTTTGAGCAATAAACTTATCTACCTTGGTACTATTACCTTTGGTGTGTTTAGATATGGTTTACTCAAATCATGATTATTAGTTGATTACTTGATTGCTTTTTGTTATGGTGAACTGTATAGTACTCTATTCTGTGTTTAGATCTGCTTTACAAAGCTTGTTAATTGTGCGGTAGTCATTGGGTTTGAATTATCTATTTCTTAAGTTTCCAACATTGGGATTATCTGTTCTGACAAAGCCTCATTCAAATGTAAGTAAACTGGTATATTCATGCTTTGTATTATATTTGATTGGTTATCTTTTATTGTTTGTCAGGTCACTGTGTCTTAATGATATCTGGATTTAATCAATTTGGGAGTTTAGGATATTAGTTATAGAAACATAGTAGGCAAGGGTAATTTGTTAATGGGCAGAAATCCAAACATCAGTGCATCACAGTTAACCAATGAATGCTAGTTTGGCTATGTAGCCATAAAACTTTTAAAATAAAATAATAAATCTTTAATTCTAACGATGTATCAAAATAGTTGCTATATTTGAAAATTGGATTGATAGCCAAACATTTTTTATTAATGCATTTTCTGAAGGTCAAATTTAATACATTACTGAATTTGAAAATTATGAAATATAACACGGGGAAGTGTCAAATGTAACACTGAACCTGTTGAATCCTTGTCTGTTATATCCTTGTAAATTGTAACCATCAGAGCCAAAGGACTCTTCTGATACATCTGATCTATTGCAAGCAATATTTGGATTTTTACCACCATATTCAACACAAGCACCATCCCATAAATCATCTATGTGCATGCCAAGGGGAACATTTTGTATATCTTGAATATGCTGTAAATAACAGAATATAAATACGGTATTAATATTCAAATTAAGGAATAAAACTAGGCTTGTTTTTATTTTTGCCGTATTGTCCAGCCAGTGTAGAAAACAGGATTTCCTAGAACAGTTCTTGAACATTAACTGCAAGATAGATATCATACACAATGCCAATCAAATACGATAGAAAAATTCATCCAGTTCCAGTACAGCTCAGCTCTATTTGTATAATAAATAACTTTTCGTTGATAGGAAACATATGAGTGGCCATCCATAATAAAAGCAGCACAACATATAAATATTCTGACATACTTTAAGCTCTTCATTGCCCGGATGCATTTTTTGCCATGTCAAAAAGAGATAATCAACAAAAGCATGAACAGTATAAAAAAGTGGATCATAAGCTTTCATTGATGTTGCCATGTCACCCCCTTTGTGAAAAAAAAAGTTAAATTAGTCAAATAGCCTTGAATAAAAGTGAGGTATAATTTTCTTAGAATCATTAAAGCCATCCTTATTATAGATAAACCTATCAATAATTTCTGCATTGTAGTGTAGATTTAAATCCAGTATACCAGAAATCTATCCTTAACTAAATTTGTATTATAACTGCAGATTGAATATTGTGTTAAATACTACCCGAAGAAGAATCAGAAGAAAATTTGACAATACCTATGAATGCGTTGATGTAAGATACAAGATTCATTAGCTTCCCACTTAATTGTTCGTAGGTTTTTGAATTAAGAACTGTTGCGACATCTAACATACAAGGTATATTAACCGAAGAAGAGAAGTTTCGAGACAAGCATGGCTCCCAAGCACCTGCAAAATCAAACAAAATGTCACTTTTCGATATGTCAGGTGTATGGGGCATCTCAACACCAACATATCTAGTATGTTCCATACGCGTGATGATGATCAGAAACTATTTTAATATTTGAAACAAAAAATTCTAAGTTTTTTATTCTTTTTAGCAAAGCGACACAAATATTCATGCAATTCCATTGCAGATGGATGATATTGTAGATCCTATATAAATATAATTGACACAGCAAGCTGGGTGGGCGAAGTAGGTTCAAACATTCATAACTACTTAACATTGAACTAGGTAATTAGAGTAGAAAAATGAGTGAGAATTTAACAGAGCAGTTTTGGCGAATACAATGCTTTTTTTAAATTATTTATTATTTACATTTTTATTAATAGATGAAGAAAAGCAATGCTTTATTGATTAAAACTTTAAATTAGGTAAATAGACCAGTGAGATGACTTTTACTGCACGGTACAAGAGTGTTCTCCTGACAAGGGCCATTGTTTGACAAGCTTTAAGAATTCAAATAATTTAGGATACTCGAGCAGGATAAGTTTTATAAAATAACATACTTGCTTCTCCATTTTTAGACACTCTGAAAGGATGATCTGGAACACAATTTCCATCTCCACCAAAAAAGTTGGGTTGCCAGATAATTGCATCGTTCAATTTTCCTTGAAATATATAAACATTAAAATCAATAATGGGATATTGCATATCATATTCTTGGTTCACAAAGACAATCCTACCATTCACTGCATTTCTATTGGGAACAATCGAAGAATTTGAAAATTGGCCTGAAAAAAGTTCTAGAATATTTATAACAAAGAAGAATGAGTTTTTTTTTTTTTATTAATAAAAACATCACTTTTCATCCACACGATATAACACATAAAAAACAAGAACACAGAAAAAAAAGAAGAATAAGTTGAGGAATAGTATATAGCTTTGTGTCAACTTCCAAGAGAAATTTAGGTTTCAAAACTTCATAAAATACCTTAAAAGTACCCCTAAATTTCCACATTTTATACCTGTATCTTGAGTGAAATCATAATATGGTATTGCAATATCACAGTCAATACTTTGAAGCAACAACTCCATTTTTCTCAAAAACGCTCTGTTCCACAGCAAAAAGTATCTTGGCGACTGAAAACAAAAGTGTTCAGAATGAGCAATAGCATTAATTAAATTGTTATAACTACCAACTGTTTTTATACCTGTGCAGTTGGAAATTTTTTGATGTATTCATCTCTCATCAAGTCCCAGACCGTCTGGTCATTCTCAACTTCTTTCATCTTCAATGTTCGTATAGCATTTTGATAAGTTTCTCTTTCTGCAGTTGACAACTCGCGAATCTCTCTAGAGGAACAAAATAACAGTTGGATAAATCAGACTATATTGAACAGATTCTTAAATTTCAAGTTGAAGATTAACAAGATAAATAAATAAATACCAGATTGGACAAACAAAAAATGTCATATCATTTAACACAACTTTCAGTACACTGGTAGTGAAGAATACAAAAGTTACCTCCTTTGTGATTTTTCTTCACATCTACATCTGATATTACCGTCCCTGCGGCAGGCACAGGAATGCTCACATCCAATATTAATTATCGAATTCAAGTTGTATTCTTTACCACCAAACTGTTAAAAATTGATATGATGTAAGGCATTGAATATGAATATAAGGATAAATAAAAAACTATCTTGTTTTCTACCCAGATGTATTAAAATGAGACAGCTCAATAACATGGCGAACCACAGCCTGTCATCCGAGTATCAGTTCATGGAAGGTATGGGAATAGTATACCGCTTCGTTTGAGATGAAGCACTGTACGACGGTTCGAAGTCTAGCAGCCATCTCGCGCAAAATTATCCCAATAGTATTTGAACCTTCGAACTCATACAGGGTAATCAGGGGTGCTTCTACAACAGTGGTTGGCAAACTTTATATACTTGCGGGCCAAATATACACATTTCCAGTAACAAGCAGGCCACAATATTTCCACCTTCAACAATTGCTACATTGAACTTCATATTTGGAGCATTTGCACCTTCTATTGCTGCGTTGAAAGCCTGCCACAATGAGATGTGTATGTGGCTTTTTTTAATATATTATCCAACAAAACACTTTTTTATTTACTTATTATCAATAAGTTGGATGATGTATTTTTGGCAACTTGCCCACGGTACGTCGTGGAAATGACAATCTTACAAGGGAGTACGAAATTTATTCTAAGTGTAATTCGTTTTAGATAAAGTTTCGTAACGAGTTTAACATTGAATCCCTTAATAACTGCGAAGCTGACTGGGAATATCGAGCAAGCTCATTTTGGAATGCGCAAGTAAGAAAAATATTTTTTCGTCCAAGCCCTTTGGAATGTTTGACCCTCGTCGCAAACTTCCTAGCGTTTTCCCAACATTTTTAAATTTAAAAAATTAAAATTAGCTACATACAACTGACACTACTTGTTACAGCAGCACATAAATCTGTGTAAAGACAATATTAAATTTGGGATCAATTTTTATTTTATGTATTATATGTCAGGTCGTTCAAGGGTCACAACAAATTAGCTCGTGGGCCGCAGTCTGCCGACCCCTGATCTACAATTAGCCAACTGCCTAGTCAACGTTGAAGCATGCAAATTCTTTGTTGATAGAGCAGTAATTCTATATCTTGAATAATAACATTTAACAGGTAAGGTTCTATATAAGTTCATCTATACCACCAGCTATAAGATAATTTGCTAATATGCATTTATAAGACAAAACGAATTAACCTCTCTCAATGTAACTAATTATTTTAAAATAAACAAGTAGAGCATTATTTCCACATATATATACCGAGCATGTTGACTGCGATCCACATGAAACCTCGGAACAACCAACTCCAGGGTTGAATGACAGTACCTGTTGAACAAATACTGATATTTTAAATCAAAATAATAGTTTATCTTGATAATTCTGTAATGTGCCGACTGGCAAACATGATCTTGTTTATTTAAGCTTAAGTTGTGAGAATATTTTCTCCGTTCATTAACATGAGAATATTTAACATCTGCAGCATACACATATGTTATATTAGCAATTTACTTGAAGTTCATTATGTTGTGTATCCATTCTTTTGCATTGTCCAATTGTCAATGTTTGACAATTGAATGATGGTGGAGTATCTGCATGACCATTGATATGAATCATTGAATGTCGCAACATACAACAGGCACCGACAAGACACTTTTGTCTGCAAGCCTGCCTGGAAATGAAATTATTTCCATTTCCACCACAACCTGAAACATTTAAAATAATACCACTATACATTCAATCTGTGTCGAAATTGAATATATTGGCAAACTGAAGAATTTATATTCAGAAAACAGAGCTGTTTATGGTTAGCGCAACTTGCTAAGCATTAGAAATTATGCTTGTCATCGATCTGCAATTAATCTTTTGTGGGTTCTCAGGTTGGAATTCAGTGTCAGATAATCATGTTTGATTACTGGGCTCCTTTCTTCAGCAGTGTGGTTCAAGTAATCTTTGGCTGTTTACAGCTATTCAGAACAGAATGATTACACTGAGAATTGACCTTTGTGATTTATTTCCTGGACATGTACCAGGAAGTGTATTTCCATCTGGATACATTTGTCTCAAATCCCATGTTGAGCCTCTGAAAATGATCATAAAACTAATGTTGTAGGTACCACGAAATACCACCTTTATAATCCACAATACCTGAATACTTAAATTCTTGACATTTTTGTGTGTATTTGTCGAAATACCACCGAGAGTCATCTTCTTCACAATTTCCAACTTGCTTCTTATATGCACAAACATTATGTGAATATTGGCATTTTCCACCTACAAAAGGTGGGGAACATCTGAAAATAACATGTTATATAATTGCATCATAACAGACTGGAGGTGAGTTCTTCAGAAAATGATATCTACTTGAAATAAATCCTTGTAACTTTTTACAATAACATTAGGCCTTTCATGTTATAGTAAACATTATAAGAAAAATATTCCATTTATCCCAAATATTTATACATTAAAAAGGAACATGCTCAAATGAAGAATTACAGTGAACAATTCCAACATTTCAATTTAATCGAATATAAACATTACTATGTAATATCCATTTTATTTTTATTGACACCAAACTGTTATTTTTCCCAATTTGAGTTGATTACAAAAGAAATCGCTCTTTTTACATGCATTTATAAGTTCCACGTTCTTCAACACACTCTCCTCCATTTTGGCAAGGATTACTTCCACAAAAATCAACTTCCTCACAATTAGATCCTGAATATCCATCAAGGCAATCACAGGTATAGGCTACAAAAATATTGGAAAAGAAAAGCATTTTTTTTTATTTACAAACAAGTGAGTTTGGTTTCATTTTGAATAAGTTCTTTTAGCTTTGCTTTGAAAAAATATTTCCGAAAATCTGTATACATTTGTCCCTTGTATCTTGTTCTTTTTCTTAAACTGAAAACAGGTTCTTTTTTAAGGTACATTCAAGGTATGTATAAAATTTTTCTGTGAATGACTGGATATAGAAATTTCTACATTCATGAACACTAGATGAAGACTGTTTGTCGTGTTTATGAAATTGGGTCCAAATTGTCCAATTGTTCATTAATGTTGGGCATGATGACTATATATAAACTTAAAAAAAAAGGGTGACTAACTGTCTCCATCGTTAAGACATGTTCCTCCATTTCTACAAGGATTTCTTCGGCAATGATTGTTGAGTCTACAAGTTGGACCTCTATGAGAAGGCGGGCATTCGCATGAATAACTCCCTTCTCCAACTAGTTGACATCGACCATTGTTCAAGCACGGATTTGGCCTAAAATATAAATTAATAACAAGTAACTACTATAAACTATTTTCACTGACAAAAACATCAATATTTAAACAACATCTTTACATTTATATTAAGTGTTCCATTTTTTTCCTTTTTTCCTGAATCATTAGTCACTTGAACATAGTGAGCCGAATTAGTATAAGCCGAATTTTATAAAAATTTCACAAACCAGGTCTAAGATGGAGCTAAAATAAACAAATAGACCTAGCCAGTTTACGGGTTAAATTGCTCAAAAAATGAGAAAGTGCCATTTATGACTAGCTAACTGCTAATATTCCCTTTGTGAGGCAGCATTTAGACTGGTTACTAAACCATCAAATCCACAAAAGCAAATGTATACCTGCATGGGTGAGGTTTCTGGCAACGATTCCCTATGTGTGATGTTGGACAAGTACAAAGAAATCCACTGCCTGAATCTCTATTTTCACACCTTCCACCATTCAAGCAAGGGTTTCGTGAGCAATAATCTGTTAGCTCACAACGTCTACCAAAATATGAATCTTGGCATTTGCAAACAAAGTTACCGTCTGAAAGGTATAAAATTAGTTTACCCAACACCGATTTTATTGAACTACATTAAACCTTAAAAATATTTGACATGAGTATGTATATTCTGATATCATCTAGATTCTAGATCTAATCAAACAATACATTAATAAACAATGGAGTAGCAACTTGGCAAAAGAGATTGAATCTTGATTACTCAAAGAATATTCAAAATTATTTTCATCCCACTAACTATAAAATTTTAATTGTTATCAAATCATTCAGCAGCAATAACTTGAATGTTTTTTGATTAATGTATTTTGAATCATATAAAATATAATAATTTTCATGCCCATTTTAGTTTTTTCAACCTTTTGAATATTTCAGCTGTCAGTCAAAAATTTACCTTCCATGCTACAGACTCCTCCATTGAGACATGGACTTCTTTTACACAAATCTTCATATTCACAGTACTCACCAACGAACAAATTTGTGCATTCACAAGTGTAAGGTTTCTAAAAAATTATAATTGCAAACATTTTTTTAGAATTTGAAAAGGAGACTGACTGGTCATGCAACATTTACAACTCCAAGGTCAATTCCAACATCAATCGATTTGCTAGTTGATTTCTAAAAATTATCCAGACTGTAACTCTAAAAGCTGTTGTCATCCATGTGGTGGAGCTGTCTTTTCAACTATACCGCTCTGAATATATAATTCTATTTTAAAATAATAAATATAAAACCGATTTTACTCCATATTTTGAAGGTTTGTTCGTGCACGAAGCGCCATTACGACAAGCCCGAGCTCTGCAGTAATCAGTCGTTTCACATCGATCTCCATAATGTGTAGCCCGACATCTAAATCAAAGATAGTTTATCTCATTTCATAATCATGTCTGTAAATCCGTGCCTTTATATTATGTGATTATAAATATAATGGATCAGTATCCCCATAATTAGGTAAATTGCTTAAAACAACAAATTTTTACGGCATTTTTTAGCACTTCCTCATTTTCGATAATATCTATGAATAACTCAAAGATAGTTGAGGACCTGAGATAATAAGTTTGAGTAAGTTGTATCTCCACATATTGATAAATGCCTTTTTATTTTAGGCAAAATTCATGAAAAATCTGCTGACATATTTGTATTTGTACTTGATCTAAAAATATAGTTTGAAGACTTGTTTAGAAGTTTAGATCCTATCTTATCAGATGACATTGGTACGATAATAATTTTTGAACATGATAGAACTTTGGAATTCATCATAAATAGGAAATTTTACTATTTAAATTAACAAATGCCCTCCCATATCACTGCTAAAAACAGTGTCTGTTCCACAAAATACAAAATCAAGCAATATGTTGCAATACCCCACAACACACATTTAAATATTTATTAGTTTTTAAAATATCTTACCTGCAGAAGAAGCCGTCCTGTCTGTTTTCACATAAACCCCCATTTAAACAGGGTGAAGAGTAGCATGAATCTCTATGTTCACATGTCAACCCCACATACGAATCAATGCAAACACATGTAAATTTATTCCCACCAGTAGCAATGTTAGTGCAACGTCCTCCATTTAGACAAGGTTCAGAAAAACAAGCATCTTCATCCTCACATCTTCCACCACTAAAACCGTCTGGACAATCACAGGCATATGCTGTTCTGTCTAACGAGTCCCTCACACATTGTCCACCATTTAAACATGGATTAATGCGACAGCTGTCTGTTAGCTCACAATAAGAACCATGAAACGGTTCCACACAGGCACAGGAGTATCTTCTAAAATCAGAGCTTGGAATACACCTTCCCTTGTTACGACATGGAGAGGAATAACAAAGATCTCTAAGCTCACATTTTGTACCTAAAAAAGAGTGTATGAAACTGTTTTAGTTGACACACATTTGGTAGCATGATATAAAAGCATCAGCTAAGTTTTTGTGATACACAAATAAGCAAAGTGGATTACAATCCATACCAATGAAACCATCCAGACATTCACATGTGAAAGATACGCCATTACTAGATCCTTTTGTACAGCGACCTTCATTTAAACATGGATTGATATGGCAACTATCCTGAAGCTCACAATGTGAACCGTGGTAAGGTTCTTCACAATCACATGTATAGCTTCTGAAGTCGGAACTCGGTAAACATCTTCCCGCATTAAGACAAGGAGATGAATAACAAATATCTTCAAACTCACACTTTGTACCTGAGTAGATTTATTAGAAAACATAATTTTACCCATTGAAAATTATAATAAAACTTTGGGTATTTATTCCTTATATATTGATATATTGATCGCACTGGCTTAATATCAGATATTTGACTATTATGCGAAAACTAGAAATGACCAGAAACAGCTCTAATAAAAAACTTGAACATCTTAAATACTGTGAACATCAAGAATATGTTCAATTTTAATTGACATCTGGCCAATTTTGTGGAGTTTGAAATTTCAAAATATTTGGTACATTGTCACAAATGATTTCAATGAAAATTCAAGCAATACATATTATATTATAATGCCAACCCTTGAATCCATCCAAGCATTCGCATGTAAATCTTGAAGAGTCTCTAGAATCTGTCAAACATCGACCTCTATTTAAACATGGATTGGTATAACAAACATCTTTCAATTCGCAGTGGGTGCCATGATAAGGTCCAACGCAGTCACAAGTGTAGGAGCTCAAACGTCTCAAACACCGCCCACCATTAAGGCAAGGAGATGAATAACAACTATTCCGTAGTTCGCAATTGGTACCTAAAATATAAAAAATAATTTAAAGTTCTGTGATTTCCTAATTTGTCCAGTGTCTCCTACAATTATGAACAACCCATTCAACATAACTTTAATTGTGACATAAACAGCAAATGCAATTACAGCAGTTCAATATGTAAACCATGTAATAAATTAAAGTCACTATTCAACTGATAATAGCAACTTTTCAGGAGTAAAAGTAGCCATTAAAGTTGCTAATGATTTTAGGCATTATATCAATTTTTATCACCTTAATTTGTGAATACAAACATATTTATACAAAAACAAAATATAGAATCAGAGAACGGAAAAGAAGAATAAATAAAACCACTCCAATAAAAAAGCCTATATAAATTTTCAAAATTTTCTCAAAAATTTCAAATAGAATCTCGATGCTCGATAACCAGATTTGGTTTCCCGCGACTTCCCTTCCACAGTAAATCTGTTTAATTATCATTTTCTCTTAATTTGTGTTCGATTGATTTTTTACTGGTTGAAAAAATAAACTTGGCTTGACTTGACATACATGAGAATGTATGAAACAAGGGACAATAAAAACGTAATGTTGACATACCATAAAACTTGGAGCGACAACGACATGTATATCCCCTCTCTGAGAAAGTAGTGCACAATCCATTATTTAAACAAGGATTTGAGAAGCAGGCATCAAAGTCTTCACATTGACGACCTTTGAAACCACCCAAGCAGTTACAGATGTAACCCTATATGTTGAAACGGATATGTTATGCAACTAATCAAGTATATCAAGCAAGATAATAAACAAACAGTAACAACTGAGAGACATACATACACCAATACATTGAAATTACAACAAGAATTTGACACATGTATCGGCATCAGTGTGCAATGAATGTCAAATTGTGAATCTTCAATTAATCGAAAATATAGGTCTTCTTAGAATACTGTACATTGGATTTTTTATTAGTTGATAAATAGTTATTTAAGACTTGTCCTAATCTTTGTAGACTTGATAATACAACAATATCACCACGATAATCACATATCAGAGATTTTTGAGTTTAGTCTGACTAACAGCATTTTTTATTGTTTTGCATTGACTTATACAACAAAAACATTTCGAGATTCAATAAAGAGATAATTAGGAAAATTTTCACAATAAGCCATATAAAATTTTTGAGATGTGACAATTCTTTATTTATGTCTAATTGTTTGCATGGCTTTTGGTTATCTATAGCACAAAAATAAATATTGAAAATCAAAATTACATACTACAGAAGTGTTGATGCAACTTCCATTATTTCTACAAGGATATGATTGGCAGTGGTTTTTGGCTGGTTGTTCACAGTTTATTCCAGAGAAGCCATTCTTGCATTGACATCGATATCTTCCAGTTTCAAGTAGTTCACAATCTGCCCCATTTTCGCATATTCCAAGAGCACACTGATCAGTAAACTCACAATGCTTTCCGCGGAATCCACGTCGGCATCTAAATTTAGAGAAGTTTACAATTTCCATGGAATATACAGTCAATAAATACGAGGATGAAAATTGAATCATGGTTTAAAAAATCAGGTTCAACGAAAAACATTTGCATCCTGAATGACATCATGAATCTTGGTGTTTTCAAGTTTCGCTGCCCGAATACACCATTTTTTTAAATCTAGTGCGACTCAGTTGTCTCTGCTGATTTTTTTTCCCTATTTGGGTTTTTTCAAATCATATATAAAGATTTATACCAATCCCTACTATGTTGCTAAATTTTGCAGACTCATAATTACAAGTTCAAATTAATAAATATTGAATTGGACATCAAAATTTGTGCTGATTACGATACAAAATCGTATACTATCCATTTATTTCAGTTGCATATTACATTACTAAATAAATGTATCTCAAACATATTCAGAAAATTGGTTAGGAGAATCCCTTACATTTGTATAACCAAGGATAGTCGGGATAACTATGTGCATAACTCATAAATTGTACATAGGTAGGCTGTTATACACCACTGTCAAAATTTTATGATCAACCACATTTATAATATGGCACCCTAAAAAAGATTTGTCCACAAAACCATTCCGCTCACATCATGAATATTGATTGTGAGACAAATACCAAGACTTTTGCTTTTAAATACTTAGATTGAATACTTAAATACTACTTAGATTCAGTACATTTTCAGCTGCACCTTTGAGTGCAAACTTGTAAATGCTTCCACATATAATGTACTTCTGATAAGTATTTTAGTAGTTAGCTTAAAACTAATCTTTTGATTTGCTAATCGCTTGCTATGAAGTGGTCACCTCAAGTGTCTCCAGCAGGATGATAGCTCCATATTTTTAAAGAGATTCATGTTTTCACTTACACTAATCATTACTGCTGCGCCATTATTTCATTTTATGTGAAGCGTTTAGCTCCTTAAAGGCATTGGTGATGTACAGAGCATATGCACTGTGAGTTTGTGTTATAACTCAGATAAACGTTTGTTCAAATTATCGTAGATTGCTGATTTCATTACCAATGAGATTTTTTTGCTGCTGTTGCTCCACGATTTTAATAATTTCCAGGGCAGTGTTTACTGTACAACCCAATGTCTATATAAAGTTAGATAATATATTGCAATAAATTTAATTCAAAATCTTGGTACTACATATACAGAACTGAAAATTATTTCATACTATAAAAACAGTCCTCTGGATTCCTAAGGAATTTTGTCCTGCATCTAGCCTATTAAAAACCCATATGACCCAGTGACATTGTAATAAGAATTGAATTAAATCAAAAAACTTTTGATATGATTCATGTAACTAATGGTGGGCATATGAAGGTGTGCTAAAGTTGAAAACCCAAATAAACAGCGATTTAAATGAAACAAAAAATTTGATTGTAACAGGACTTTATGAGCACCCTGAATAACATTTAATAGTGGTTTGGAATTTGGTACTAGCATTTATTTTCACCTAATCCCAAATTATCCTGCCATTCTTGGATAAGAATGGGAGTCTGTCATGATTAAGAAGTATTACGGTGAATAATTTATGGTTTATCTGAATTTCCAGGTTTGTGGGAGTGCAATCAAAATATGGTCTCTGATTATAAAAAAGGTTTTTAACCTCATTCTGAGTCTTTTCTTAAAGGGTAAAAGTCATTATCACACATGATTGCGCTCTGGTATTACACATGAATGTCGCACATCCTATATAAAGCTTAAGCAAGTAATTTTATTTAACGAGAGAACAACATCATAATACTCATTTTTTCCTCCACCTTTATGCTATATTTAATTTTTTACTTAAGACTGTTGGATGTGCAGACATGTCTTTTCTAATTGTATTTTGAAATCAGACATCGTCCAGGCATTTTAGTAGTGAAGACAATTTTTAAAATATATATATATATATACATATGTTAATGAAAAAAAACATTTTTTGGAAACTTTGCCAAACACAAAGCATAATAAAATATATCATTTTGAGTTTTCAATGACCTCCCAAGTATTGCAAAAAACGTACTGCTATTCAGTGATGAAATCATCCCGAAAAATTTGCAACAAGCCGGCATTAGTTCAACTTAACGTAAGTGAACGACTGTAGTGAGTCCGATATACCGGGTTGCAGCGACTGGCACTAATGCTTTTTAGGCGTTTATGACATAACAATACAACTGGATTGTTTATTCGGGGCTTCTTTCTGAGGTCTATGAATCGGAAGAGGAATTTTGAGAATATCCATTAATGAACTTTGCAATTTACAAAACGTTTACAAGTTAAGCTTCACAGTATGGTAACCTCAAGAAAGAATTTTGTCGTTTTAAGAAAAAAATTTTATTTGTGTTTGCCGTTGTATTGCTAATATTTTTTGGTTCTTTGTTATTAGTATTATAATTATGCATGTACGCATTATAAACTACTCACTAATGTAGAAAAGTGGGAGCGCGATTTGCGCATAACACTGAGTAATGATCCACTAAAATCCAACATATACATGGGTCGCGACCAAAATTGGGTCGCTTGTTTTTCCAACAAAAACCTAAAGGTTACTGCTCCTAATCTCTAGTAAATTTTATTGATTATTTTATATTTGTTATGAAGTGCTGTCTAATAGGAGTTGTATATGTGGGAAGTATCACATCGTAAAAACTTGGCAGATGCTTTTTGCTCAAGTAAAGCCACGCCACTATTTCAAAAACTTGCTTATGACATACAAGCGCAGCTTTCTCACTTTGGGTTATTTTGGGGAAAAAATAATTTCACCTAAAAGTGGTTGTTTCATATTAGCCAGTAAATTTTGTGACCCCATAGGCCAGGACGTAAGCATTACATACTGCCTAGTATTTCAGCATGTCTTTGGCTTGCGAGATTTTACACAAATTCCCTTTTTTACAAATTTAGGTCGTTCGAAAAAAAGGTTGGGGACCAATGGATTAAAACATCCTCTCCTACTGAGTAATATTCCTCAAGCGATTGAAGGCACGCACAGGCTTATATAAGATATTCAATGCCAAATCCTGGGACATAAGCCTCATTGCATAATGCTGATAAATTTTATCGTAAAACTGGGAGCAAAATTATTAAACTGCTTGAATGCTTCAATATATGTTTCTCGATATGCAGGGTAGTTATCATCTTTGAATACTTTTCTTTTAACTAATGTTGCTTTGAACATAGGGACGACATAAGCTCTCAATGAAGATACTCAGAATGTTTTAAATGTCAATTTATTCAAAAGGCAATTTGCTTACCTGCATATATAGGAATCGTCTACTTCTTCACATGCGCCGTTGTTAACACACGGGTTACTCAAACAAGCGTTTGTTTCTAAACAAAGAATGTTTAGAAAGGTTAAATCGAAATCGATAATTGTCGGTATATGCTACTAATACGTCATCATTGCGTCTTCTCGTGTGACGTTAAAGGTTAAAGACATTGAAATCGTTATGTGGTTCCTTGTAGATTTTTATGGACTAAGTTTTCCATATAACAAAGAGCATAATCCCGAACAATCGTTGATATAATTATTGATACAAAATGTTGCTATATTCCGTAGGAAATTCGAAAGCACAAGGGCTATTCCGCGTTATAAAAGGGTGAACTAATTATATTTTTGGCTGGCGTGGCGTGAATCGCAAATAACAAGAGAAGTCAAAAATGCGAAAGCAAAATTGTAAAACGCGGAAAGATCAAATTTAAGATAAATCATGTTAATGGCGTTTGTAGTGATCGTAATATGACACAATTACGTTTGTATTTTGCCAAGTTAACATCCATTTACCGTTAACAACATATAGACACTGAGCCGATATTATTGCAGCATTCGAATCGAATTGGTTGTATACACTAGCGCAGTGCTTTCTAACCAGAATTCCGCAAAACACTCGTACAGGTTTTGGGAGTTCTGTAGGGTTCGATGAGATTTTCTATGTGAAGGGACTGTGTCAATTATGTTTAAATTTTTAATACCCTTCTGTGTGAAACAGTATTTTCTGCTTTATTAGGAATAAAACAATCGCGTGAGTAGGGCGAATATGTACATTCATGCAAAACTGAGCCACGATTCAAAAGTTTATGGGAGAGATACGATAGCAGGTGGGATATTAAATTTCTTACATTAACACCAAAATATTTGACTTTCATACAAATTTGGGTGTTTATGAATAATTTTCAATGGGGGTTCTTTGATGAGTCACTTGCATATCAGAGGTTTCACAAGTATAAAAAGGTTGAAAATACTGCATTAGTGAGTTATATTTAAAATTTGCCTACGCGCATTACGGCGAAAAATATATATATCGCGATAATCCGTATATGATGATATTTATATAATTGTGATATGAAAATAACTTTGCCGATCATTGCCTATAGATCGTGATTTATTTATTTCGACTATATATTTCCACTTCCTAATATAATTGAGGCTCAACATTTTAGTTTCTAAACTGCGGTCTCAAATTTTATTGCATCAAAATATAAACCCCTAAGTTTACATGAATTTTGACCGTGGCCTGGAATTTCAGGATGGTAGAATTTTTAGCACTAGCGCTTTGCTATCTCCTGAGACGCGGCAGTAATTGGCATTCGTTTTGGGAGTTTTTCCGGAGTCTATCTAAACAAAATTTTATTTGTTTTATAAACATAGTCAACGATAGATGGATGAGCTAGCGCTTGAAATACGTCCGACCGAGCAACTCTCCAGTCAACGCCATAACTGATGGCAATGTGCGACGTCTTTTAACAAATAACTTGAGTAGATTAGTGAATTTAAGTTAGAACTTTGCTGTGGTGAAAAAAAAAATTTGAAGCGTTCAGTTTTATACATATATATATATTTTTGACCAGTGTATCAGCAGTTGTAACAAATAACAACATAGGTATGGTACGGTAATTACCACAATGTAAACAATGACCTGTTTCGCATCCATCCCTTTTTTCACATAATATCTCCCCATTCCTACATTCACAATTTCCGCATGTATTTGGCTGCCAAACTTCACCATGTCGTCGTTTGACGCCGCTTCTTGTGACACACATGGGAATACATTCGCATGATTCTAAGGCAGCAATTCGACTCTCCAGGGAAGACTACAAACAAATCAAAAGAAGATTATTAGGGTGCATTAATTACGTACGAAACCGAATAATGACGTGCAACTTACTTCAAACAACTTTGTCATCCGTCCCTTCGTGACTTAACGTTAATAGAATTATCTACATAAATACCACAACCTTTTGACCCAACTTTATGACCGTCCATTGGCAAACGTGTCAAACACGCGTGACTCATACTATACGGATGGAAGTATAAAATGAATACTTTATATTGTTTATACAAGAATATTAAGCAACAATTACAATTTATATACTGCACTTGTAACCAATGTCTTCCAAGCGCTTCAGGGTTGAAAAAAACATCTCAAATTTCTCTACGTGTGTTTCAAAATCTACTTTCATATGGTAATTTCTCATGATGTAATAATATGACACAGTTCCTTCAAATATTTCAGCGGTCGCCATAAAAACATTGTAACCTATACTATATCTCAAATTTCATCATGGGTGGTTCGAGATATCTTTTCGTTATTTCTATGCTAAAAATGATACTATAGTCAATTTTACTAAAAATCCAACCTGCATCTGCTTCATCATTTGCATCATTGTATTCATTTGAATGTTTTCAGATTTACAGGATTGAATTTCAGTCCGAAGTTCCTCTAATACTTCATCGTATTCATTTCCGACATCAAATCTGTTGAAATTTGACGAATAGTATACCCGGTATGTCTATGATTTATTCTAGAACTTGGAATACTGACGCCATATTAGAAATACGTATATAAAATATCTAACTAGTTCAATGTTTATAATCAGGGCTTTGGTTGGCAGAGTTAGTCGTAATAAATCGTGGGTTATATGCGAAACGGTCTAGCAATCTGTTGGCGTTAGGCTGAACCTGCGCACAGGTAAACAAGTATAGAATGTTATTGGAGCTCAAGCATGAGCCAACCCAGACCCACGTTTTATAAAGTGATTGAAGAAAACTGATGATAGCCAAATATGAAATAGGTGATGTCCGTTGTGTATATTTTGAGTGCCACACGATATCAATGGGAAGCGAAGAGACTCTATTACTTTTCCGATATAATGAATTATAATGACAAAATCAAATCGAGTACCGCATATGAAAAGTTAATTTGGTGAATACGGAGGCGGACAGGCTTATAGTTTTGATGAAGACAAATCCTATACAAGTAAAGCAATTTTACGGACATTTTGCCCTCAATCAATTAGTCTGTAATACGTGTCAGTAATATTTTTCCTCTCCTTCATCTGTGTACACCTTAATTTTGATATAAAGTACGTCAAAGACAGGTTGATGTTGTCTTTTACCATTCATTTAATCTGAACTATTTGAATAACACTAAACTAATGGCTTATGCAATACACTTACGAAGCAGATACAATTTTCGGCCTTTGTGGAATACTCATAGGATCTCCAGGTGGCAAGCCTCGTTTCTTGTGTTTTGATTTCGCTGAAAACAGAAGTACAAATTAGTCATATAGACACGAGACAAAATAGTAAAACAGATAACCGAAGGCAAAAGTTAATCTCACAAAGGATCTTCATTGACAACAATCTAGTTGAATGGAAGTCATTATCAAAAAATATGTTATGACATCAGTCTTTGTTGTACTTAAACTTAAGATTACGACTGGAATTTCTCTTTAGTAACAAGTATCTTTTGTTGTTGATGTGGTTTTATATTTTTTATTATATTATTATTTTTCGACAGGACATACATGAATCAGCCATGCCGCCATGTTGATGAAAATTTTTTAGGGAAAATAAATTAAATTTCGAATGCAACAAGTTGAATAGCAAGCCTATGCGGAACAAAATACTTATCGGACGACTGCCTGTGAATGTAAGCGAATCGCTAAGTTTTGTCTTCAACTTTAATCGAGAACGAAGGCTTAACAATTCGAATCAGGCCGATGGGCTTGTTGGGCAATGGGATATATATATATGTTGAGTTCATCCCAAACTGAACAGAGTTAAATTCTCATCTGCATTTTCTAACCCCTTGATTCAAATAAGTTGAAGACTTGAATATTTAGAAGAAACCTTACGGCGAATATTTACGGCGACTCGCACCGCGAAAGTCAAGGGCTTCCAAATCCATTACAGTATTAGAGTTGGCATGCTACCAAGAGATGACTGAATAGGCATCATCTGGCACCTAAAGCTATCGCTGTCATTCAATTTACGCCTATTTTCAAAAATGACGCCGCTAAGTGGAAAATATGTTGTATATGGTCATTTGTAATTATGTGAATAAACGCTATTGACTTGACGAGATTGTTTTTACACAAATTTTCAAGATTATTTCAGGATTATATATAACATAATGTACTACAGGCGTTCACCAGAGAATATATTTATGAATAAAATTTGAGGTTGAAGCGGGCAGAGTGTGATTTTAAAACAAATCACTGCGTTTGGAATATTTCAGATCTGCATAATTTTATGCAGATTCTTAGCCAAAGTTTCACAGTAATAATTCGTTTTCACGTTTTGAGTCTTAAGAAGTTACGATGAAATTAAAATATTTGCTGATGTTTTTTTATATAGGAGTCTGTCAAATATATAAAAATTACACGGTATTAGTGTTACATGGTAATTATGATCACATGAAGACGACTTTTAAGTTGTTTAGTACAAAGCTTTCAAATTTCAAACACTAAAAACGCCTGAGGTGCAACTCTACTCGAGATTTCACTGACTTTCTAGTATCTTGGTCTCAAATTTTGAAGTTTAATAGTTGGCAATTATTTCTAATTTTTCATATTCCTTTGATTTAGGATAATTTTTTTTAAAATTGGTCATAAGGTAAAATCGTCTCTGAATAAATCTAAAAAGGGAAAATTTTTCGCAATATTTCGACTTCCGATTTACTGCCATTCTGTCGCGTTTATCGGATTTGCGGTGAAAATAAAAATAAACACAACCAGAAAATCGGATTTAGCGCACTGTTTCATTATAGTGTCCTTATTTTTAAAGGTTCGTTGTTGACCTTCGAAACATCAGAATTTTTTCTTATGCTTCAATTCCAGCTAAATTTATAGGTTTGCGTCAATGATTCCAACCCCGCGTGTTTCCATATTGAGAAGGTCGCATATCCTTTGAAGCACCGTAAATTACAACATATCAAAATGCAACAAACAATACCAGAGACATAAATATATTTCAACCAAGCTGGTTGTAATCATTGGTGTCAAATCACAACGATTAGACTATGATATGAATTAATTGGGGTTGTTCAAAGTGGTTAAAAATGTATACAGACCTCTACTTGCCGGGGCTGAATTCCTGCATTCCCAAGGATAGGTGAAGATTGGTGGAATGTATACTCTTGGGTTACGTATTTGTCCCTGTCAAAAATGCAATTCTAGTTAATTGAAAGATGAAGTTTTCACTTTTATTTTGGTTTCCTCCCGACCAACAACCAACCCAATGTCAGACAGAAATATATCATAATCGCGCGGTCGCTCAAGCGATAGATAGCATCATTATAGTGCCAATGGGAATAGACTTACAAAAATCCCCAGTAAAAATTACCACGTATGCTTCAATCCAAGGTTATTGAAATGGTGGTGAGATTGACACTGAGCTGAAGAATCAAGGCTTAAAAGAAATGTGATAAGCTATTTTGATGCGTCGACTAACGCATTGTATAAAACAGATGATATATTCAACTTATTCTGCAACTTGGACCCATGAAAAAAAACTTATTTATCGTGTCAAGTCGCGTACAGGATTGAGGAAGAAGCTGTTGTTTTAGACGGCATCGGCGCAGATAAGTAGGAAAAATTAGGGAATGTGAATAAATTTTGTTGATTTACAGTTTACGAAGTATTGATGACAACAATAACTCCAAATGAAAGTCGTGCCCGCGTAAACGTGAACATTTAGGTCTTGAATTATTGTTAATTAAAGCGGTTGTGACATTAATCAAACAATTGTACAAATACAATTAATGACTTTCATGGGTGTCATTGTTGAAATAGTTGAGAGATCATGAATAACTATTCAAACAACAAGGAGTATATATCAAACAAACCAGCATCTCGGGTTTACGATATCATGGTATAGGTAATGCTTTCTAGCTTCAAGAAAATGGTTAGAAATATACCATATTACAATAAGGATTTTAGATAGTATAATACCATAATTGCGAGGTATTCAGTGATGTCATTAGCTTACGACAAAACTGGAAAAATTGATAAATAAATGAATATATCAAAACGCAATTTATTTGCGTAATATGCTTTGTACCAAATGGATATATAGGGCGATCCAATAAACAGAACCCATATATTTCCCGAAGACTTTTACGAAAATGAAGAAAATATATTAAATTTTTTGTTTGTGTACGATTGTACAGTAATCTAGTACGTCTGTGCACAAAAGTTTTGTTTTCTCTAGTCTGGAATATGTTCCAAATGACCTGGGTTCTGTTTTGAGGTCACCCTGTACAACTCTGGGGTTTCACAATTCACTTCAGTTTTCAACCATTGCTTCGGGCGCCGCGTTTTTGCTTTAAGCACCGCTATTTCAAAACATATCTCTCAGTCCCAAACTTTGCAAATGCATCTTCAAAGTTAGGATAGATAAAAGAAGAAAATGCCCAGGATCTTATCTCACAAGAGCATTAACTTGTTTCCGTTAGTCTCACTTTACCAGGGCATAACTTACAACATTGTACGCTTTCCCAGTGTTAACATGATAATTGACTTTTTTTATCTTGATCCCTATTCTTCGTTTGGCATAATTAGTTTGATAAACAAATTTCCACATTGTAGCTAATGAAAGCCGCATGTAAATCCTTTCATTATCCACATTAAAAAAGTTGAAAACCAAACGTTGTAAAAAGAAATGCGTGGAAATGCGAAACATGGCTCTTGAAGTGATAATGATCTTCAACTTAGTGTCGGTATTTCCTCACCGTGAGTCAAGTATTAAGTACATATGGACCAAGTAAAACAGAAGGATAACCAGCACTCACTCATTATAGAGAACTTTACTTACGATAAATGAATTTTCTGGATTGTTATTATTTCCACCGAATTCGATTTTCATATCTTTCGGAAAAACGAGGTTAATTCCATCTAGGCTAGTTTTCGTGTTACTATCCTCACATGTATGTTGGCACAACACCATGTCTCCTGAAAGATCCGTTCCAGTACGAAAAGCGACAAGTAGTTTAATCCAGCTTCTTTTGCCATTATCAGTCAGTTTAAAAACTGCAGATGATTCCACCAACGTCGGTGTTCGATGTTTCACGATAATAAAATTGTTTTCTGAATCAAATATAATTTCGACCCACGTGATTGGTCCCTTTTGAGTAAAATTTGAAGAATACGAGCGGAATACCGTGGCAACCTTCTTGGAACCCACTCGAATTTCCATAGAAATCGACAGCGAGCCGTTCATGCCTGGAAAATAGACGTATATAAAACGATACTATTAACCACGATATTTAAAATATCGTAACGTTCCTGAAAATTTGTCGACGATTCCTCGTCACAACCTCGTAAATATACACTAATTGTATGCTGTACGTACACTAATAGAGCAGAAAACAAGATATATTAGAGATAAGAAGGTGATCACACGGTACGATTTGCGACAGGGTACAATGCAGATCATCCTTAACATCAAAATATTTCTGGATTTCCACATCAAGTTTAAATCAATTAAAAATTTACCCATTACAAAAACCCAAAGTAGATTTTAACAAGAGAGCTAAAACGCTATGTTGACGGCAAATAGGATTGTAATCATAGGAGAAAAATAGTACTAGTCACTGGTGAACATAACATCGTAATTTATATCCATTGGACGGTAAAATATAAAACATAATCTAGTCACAGTCACAATTTGAAGAAACCAGAAATTTACCGCAAATTTGACGAAACGACAATCGATGCCAACTTTGGTAACTTACTATTTAGTACTTTTGCTGTGGAGACGGTATTTACTTGAATAGGTGTAGATCGTGTTCTAAACTTCCACGTGCTTTCGTCGATTCGAGTCACGCCGGCTTCTTCAACAACACCAAAAAGTTCTACGAAGAAAATTATACAGTTTTAATCAATTTTGAACGTTTTGAAGTCGAGCTTAGGAGAACTGTTGTACTGGCCCTAGTTGAATAACTGGGAAACGTATCTGATTATAGATTTGTAAAGTGAACTCACCAATGTACCCTTTGAGGTTTCGTGTTTCCAGCGATGGCGCGAGACTGTTGTCATCTGTGGACGTTTTTGCATGGCGTTTTCTCGAGTGTCTATTCTTCTTTCCATTTGTGACGCATAATAATAAATTTATTATCAATATCACTCGAATAAAAGTTCGTAATTTCCACATAGTGCGAAGTCTCAGTTAAAACATCTGGTCGATATTACACTGGATCAAGCGCTACCTCTCACCTTTAAATATTAAATCCTGGATTGTAAAATAAAAACTTTCAAGGCGTCATCAAGAAATCGAAATCGCTGCACAAGTGACTAAAAGCTTACGCACTGATACGCTTGACCCCGCTCATTTTGTTTGGATAGAATATAAACCTCAAACATCGCACGCCCCTGTTTATTTTTCGACGCGTAGAAATCTACTAAAAAATATCGTAAAGCCTTAGCAGATGCGACGCTCACAATAGTTGAGTGTCTGCGGTGAACAATGGCTCGACTGTTCCGGCGGACAACTTTCCTATGAAATCGCCGATTTCTAATCGTATGCGCAGCTCGTGCTTGTCACGCGTTAAATCTGTATAAGGTGAATGTCAAATAAAGACCAATACCTCCATCCAGCGTTCGCATGCGATTGGCTTATGGTAATTAAGTCTCCGGAAGCATGTACATATTTTGAGTTCAAATATGAAAATAAATTCTTAGCTATAGCCCGACATTTCAGCATATATTCACAATATTACTTTTAATTGTATTATGCACATGATTGGTTTTATTTTGAGATGCTTAAAGAAAATGTTGGCTGCTATATATACGAAACCTTTAAATTTCGCACAGACTTTGGGGAAATGATGCAGATTTTACAACATTCTACATTCTAACTGACTTTAATTTCATTTGATTATAATTGCGTATAGTAAGTAAACATATTAAATCTTCTTCTCATTTTCGTACCGATGCCAAAGATCATCTCGGGTAAATTGAGACATTAGCTAGTTTATAATTTCTCTTTCTGGAACTACTTCTAGAACTGGAATCATTTACACTACACTAGAACCCCCATAAACAATGTAAACAGTGTTAGTTATTTCCATCGTGCTTTTTTCTCAATAAATGTAAAATAATTTCAATCAAACACTGAGACAACTGACTATCTGCGACATTTCCTTCTTCCATTTTCTTTATATTTTAATTGTTTCTACCAAGAACAACCTTTGCAATCGCCCAACATATTGTTGCTATTATGGTGAGAGACATCATAATATATATTTTTTCATTGACACAGAGGGGAATGCTCCAGGCGTAATTGAGAAGTGCACCGAGCGTTTCCCCCAGAGCTTGTAATGAAAATCCGATGTCCGCATCTGCAGAGTGAGTCGACGTTACCACTGCAATACATAAGTGATAAAAGCTACAGACAACTTATACTTATTCGGCTGACATTTTTGAGAAATTAATACTTAATTTCAAGTGAATAACTTTAATGTTAACAAACAGGCTCAAATAAATAAAAAAATAATGAATCCCTCGTCATATAAGCGTGATTTTTACTGTTTTTTTAACGTGAAAATAAATTATTCGAAATAGTAGAATAATGATATCGACATTAAAAGTAAAATAAAACTTCATTAACATCAAGTTAGACTTTAAACGACGCTTATCTAATTTAAATTTATAATGAATATCGAAAATAACTACTTCTACTCACAGAACACAGTATTCCGCCGGATACCATGGGTAACACCAAATGTAGCAGAGAAAACGTACGAAAGAAATGTGGTAGAAACAGTGGGTACCCATAACAAAGAAATGGTATAATTGATCAAATCATATATTAGTCCCACGGCGAAAAGAGTCGGCAAACCAATTTTCTTTGCACTCTTCGAAATAACTAATGATGTCACCAACGACATTATATCAACAATGACCGTGCATATTCCAACCTTAAAATTTTAAGTTTAACGTTCAACATTACCAATCAACAAATATAAGTAAGATCAATTTCAAAAATCCTTTTTAACTTTATATATATTTCTGTTTACCAAGATGCAATCATTTTTATTTTACTATGTAAAAATATGCACCTGTTGGACTCCAACAATACACGACACGAATGCTCTGTTGTATTCGGTCCATATATACGCGATGGTCAGACCGTACAACAACATAACTGGCAAAGTTAAAAGTCCATGTAAAGATGTCACATGTTTACAAGTGTCTTTTAAGCCGGTAAAAAAATCAGTGAAAGCTGATGTTTCTTTCTTCAGTAAAGGCGCCGATGCAGATGATTCATCATTTTCTGTAAAAAAATAATCAAGTATGATGTTCAGCTTTTTGTTGTTCATAGAAAAATCACGGAATGAAAAAAAATTGAAATAATTTTGAAACATAAAGAAAGACCATTTCGAATAAACTCGGAATATTTTCGCCATCTGAAAATACATTTTTTACTCCCATGACCCTGTAAGATTCAATGGGTAATGCTTACAGATAAGGTATGTCGACGTTTTAATTCAGCTCAATATGAGTAGTGAAAATGATCCGAAATATTTTGGTATAAATTTCCAAATCATTTGATAAAAATAACGTATATTACGATACCTGATGTATAAAGTGTATCTTCCAATAGAAAGTAGTGAATCGAAGCTCCCCCAATTTGCATTACCACGTATATGCATAGTAGTATCCGCAACAACGTTTGATTTGGTATTAGCACAGAAAACTTTGTTGATTTTCCTTGAAATGAGTATTCACTCTGGATAAACGATAGTGATATTGCAGAAAAAATTCAAAAGTTGAATTTGAAATGTTAACGGAATATGGAGTCGATAAAAATTACCATATCTACAAATTCCCCTAGATAAGGTTGGTAATGTGCTATACATATACAGTCACTCACTTATATGCATATATATACAGCCAACCATAAATACATATGGGAAATCGCAGTCTAAGAAGTCAGACTGCCCCATAACAGTTGATCGCTCATATATAATCAGTGCGCTAAATATACGCTGACAGAAACTTCAAAACGGATAACGATCAATACAAAGTCAGTTGTTTGTTGAACATGAGTACCCTACGTACAGAAGGTGGCAACCCATGATGTCATAATGCCTCCGAGCTGATCGCTCTCAGCATAAGGAATGTTGTGATGACAACAACGAAATTACGGTATTCGCTTTAATGAACTATTGTTTGACCAATCAGGTAATGTCGACAATCTATTCAAATTAAAGTTTGGCACAAACTATCAATACTCGCACTATATTATGTTTAATTTGAAAAGCAGCGCCAAATTATTGCTAATAACTAATTGCTTTAAAATGTTCAGTGGTCAAAGATTGTATTTTTTGCTAGAAGGCTGTTACTTCTTTTTATTTCAAAAATTTATGTGGGCGGTGACGTCATCAAAATTAACAATCGCAGTCCTTGTGGCGGTTGCGCGTTCGGGGTCAGACGAAGTCGTGACGACTGCGGTATCGGTAGTCTACTGCGAGAGATTACATACCCGTAGTACTTAGTTTTGTGTTTTGAGTCCGTATAATTGAGCATCGCTCTCGTTATTATTACAGTACATCTACGTTACAAAATATTTTTTCATATTTCAATTGATCGTCGTGTTGACGTGTAAGCTTGTGAAAACTACCACTTTTCGTCAACGAGCATAGCCCTACTCTACGGAATTGTTCTGATTATGCTTTATAAATTAAACAAAGTGAAACTTAAGTAATGTTAGTTTGCAGTAGGCTACACTTTAATTTGTTTAGCTAGTCGTCGGTTTACTACTGCTACTGGCTAGATAATAGTATATCGAAGATAGCACCTCAATATTATTCACCATATCATTATCACCACCACATTCCTCATGGTATGAGCGGTGTTGTTTTGTGGGACACCATGGCATTTATTGCGCCAAATGGTAATGGTATGATTATGACAAATTTATGAGCATTCGTTTTTCAAGGGCATAGCCTAAATTGCTCTTAAAATGACACTGAATGGTCAGGCTTGTTTCCAATGATGAACGCTTGGGCATAAGTCACGACTCCGATGAATTGTATGAAGAACCAGAGGCGTAGCCAGCATATTTTGCGCCCGGGGCAAACTATAAAATTGGCGCCCCGACCTCCATGTTTTATCATATTTTCTATTACATTTAATTGTACAGTATATGTAAAAACAAATTATATATGTAAATTCAAATTTATATGTATTTATATATTTTATTATTTATTCAAAAATTTATGTATATGTGTATTCAAATTTTGAAGGAACATTTTATTTAAAGAAGAAGCAAAGCTATACAAAATATAGCATATGTCCATGATGTCCCACTCAGTTACTGTCAAAGATAATTTACATAGTCTACAATAAATTTATTTTTCTCGATTTCACTGTCGCAAACTGGTTAGTTAACACGTCATCAAAATCTGTTTTTTTCCAATGTTTCTCTCCCAACACTTAAAAGTGCAAGATCACTGAGACGATCCTGTCCCATTGATGCACGCGAATATCACAAAATAAGTTCCAATTTGCTGAAAGACCGTTCACAGCTAGCAATTCAAACTGGTATTGTTAACAAAATTTGTAGAGAAATTTGCAGATTGGGTAAAACGTCGTCTCCAAAAGACACAATAAAACCAAGAAGAGCCAAAGGAGTTGAGCAGCATTCTGCAATCTCCAATTTTGGTGAAAAGTTCGTGACCATTGATGTCCGTGTAGTAGAAATTTGCAAAATATGTGCAATCTCGACGAATTGTCGAAAACGGCATTGGGGTCTTTTAGCACAGTATAATATATATATTTTATGTAACTCTGCTGCAAAGTACGGTACTCTGACAACCACGAAATACAAAACCACGTATTACTCAAAACATGTATTAACATCATTCAACCAAATTCCGTTGCCATTTGTCTCCAGCACAGAACTAATATTAACATACATCGGAGTGCGCAGGCAAAAATTTAACGATACAGAACCACGTAATTAACCCGGTGCATTTTGTTACCTAACGTTACCAAATCAAATTTTGCTTTGTTTGATTTTTTGGCCATGTAGTTACGATGGAAATCTGACCGTGCGCGAGCTATGTGCGTGATGACGTCGGCAATCGACGTAAGTGGTCTGACCAAGTGTGCAGTTTGCAATATACTAAGACTACATGTCTGCCGCCGGTGCGATCTTGCTTGTGACCGTTTTTTACCCTTGTTGTGAAATTTTTGCAAGACCCATTTTGGCGCCCCTGTACCTTGGCGCCTGGGGACATATGTACCCAAATTATTTAGAGGCTTGGAGTTTGTTAAAATAACGCTTCATGATCATCACTCTCTTTCGTGTTTCACAAGCCTCTGTTGAATGAATTCTCAAATTCTAGTCATTAAGGTGTCCCGGAATGGTTTAACACTAAGTTGGCAACCCTTGAAGCAGCTGATCTGCTGTATTGTTATGCGCAGATAATACGTGGAGTAGAGAGTACATAGAGTATTTGCTTCTGAAATCCATTGGTTGTATATGTACATTACTTGAATGGCTGTATATGACATGGGTGGTACTTTTGCAAACAAACTTCATACGTGAACAGATGATATGACGCCTAGTACCTGAGCGTACATTCAATCTGGTGATATGTTCCGAGTTAAAAGTACAAAGTACAAAGCTTTACAAAAACGTTTAGTTTTAAAGTTAGGTTTAAGGCAAAATTAATCGTTTACGCACTGGGTTTTCTCGCGAAAGACACTAACCCGTGATGAGACTGGTAGTACTTATCTTCCCAAAATGTTATACAGTATGTTTACATTATTATTTATAGAACTCACTGGACAATCGTTCGATCCGCATGTCAATAAATGACGAGATGATAGATACACAATGCTGCTGTTGATTATATCCACGTTATCTTCACCACTGATGAATGCTTCAATCTTATCGGAATTTAGTATGAGCTCTGTCACAGCATTGGAAAATATCTGTTATAACAGTTATAACATATTTAGATTTTCATTTATGTCTAAATTCTAATGTCATTGCCATAAAGCCCAATGACTAAGTGAATTAGTGGCGAAAGAAGAAAATGATCTGGATAGATACGCAGTTATTGTACAATACATGATGACAAAAATGATTCCCTTTTTTAAATAAAGATGTCGGGTAATCAATGTCTAATACATATATATCTATCATATATATATTATTTGGTATGTTTGTGTGTAACTGACTGAAAAATTCGAAATTATCATGATAAAACACCATTTCAACCAACCCTCAGCGTTACGAGGTGAAGTGGACTATATATTTCAATATATTCTTATTTTTCAATATATTCTACGCTATATTTTTCAATATATATTTTATAGACATGTCTTTTTATAGCCTCTCTTGCTTGTACTAATTTCGATTTCATTTTTGCGTTGATAATTTTTCAATATTACCCACCTGGCCCGAAGACATTATTACTAAAAACATTCCGAAATAACGTTGTGAAGAACTATCGCCGTTTTCTGTTTTCACACTGGAAGCAATATTGTGAACAATAACGGCAGAACCGCCCCAAGCCCAACAGCTAGCAAAACCAGCTATGAATGCTGTGGGATACATTGTATACCATTCTGAACATGAGAACAGTATAGAAATATTTCATAATTTTATAACGGAGATATTTTTTGCTAATAATAATATTGGTAATATTTTGAAACAAAATTATATTATAGATTTTTTTTAAATATTTCACCTTTACATCTTACTATTTAATGCATCCGGTTGACAATTCGATTTTCACAAGTTACAAACAGCACAAATAGTTTAATATATATGATGATGTGAAACCAACAATTGAAGCACTGACACAACGAATACCGATTTTTGTTACACAATGCAATCGATTATATCTTCTGAAGGGCGCCAGGAAATACCTATACATTATTCTAAATATAAATATTCCTAAACTTCATATTTGAAACATCAAATAACCAACCAAGTTACGTGCTAGTATTCCACAGTACTACTACTACACCACAGATACAACACGCTAAGATACTTGGACTTCATATTTGTTTCAATTTACCTGGGTAAAAATTCACCAAAGTGTATAAAGTATTGCATAGTTGCCCGGCTATCAACGCAAACTTTGGTCCGTATCTTTTCAGTACAAATGGTAGAGCGATTGAACTTCCAAGAATACTGGCTCCAAATTTGAAGAGTAAACTTGTGGTGCCAATACCATCTTTGACGTTTATACTACTTTGTAATGCTGACAAACCTAAAATAGAATCCGATATATTTTTAGAAATGTCAGTATGATGGTATGTATCACTGTCATTATACTGGTTAACAGTAAATGTATATTGTTTCCGTGTCATATCCTTCAAACTTAAATAGTCAATGCAAGGCAATTGTAAATTAATTCAACCACTTGAACCAGAGACACGTTCATTTTATAATTCTTCTATAGAACATGTTATACGCCTCCTCTTTACAGAAGACTTCGCAGAAACGATCATTGCTAGGTATGGATTGACTATATTTATAGGCGGGACCCGAATCTTTCCGGTTTGGCATCGTTTATGTAAATTATGGGACACGGAATTTGATCCCGAGATCTTGACCTGCGATACAGTCCACACTTTATCCATAATGCCAACGCGTAAAAAAATACACATAATATAGAAAAATGGTTTTGTGCAGAGGAAATACTTAGCAAGCTTAACATCATACTCATGTAATGTACATTTATCATTTTATTGAAATGTGATATAATGAAATATATATGAGCTTTCGTGTCGGAAATAATACGGTTCATCAAAGTATAGTTTTATGGCACTTATATAATAAGGATTTATTTATGGTAAATTTGTGGCTTTCTGATATTTTTAATGAAGTTATTTCAACTTTGTCTTAGTGAATTGATTGAATCGAGTGATAATCAAAATTACACAATTACTCACTGAATGAAGCTCCAATAGCGAGAGAGAATCCAACAGAGCACGAATAAAAAGTTACTTTGCGCCTCGACTCAGTTAAATAACTTGAGTCATCGTTCATTCTACCACGATTTACAAAGATCCGTTCTAGGTAGGAAATTCTGATTCTATGCTAATTTATATCAACTCGTTTTATGTAATTGATATATCCCTAGAAACCGGAATAATAATAAAAAGGTGAATCTTTATTAGGTAATAAACTGAAGCTTTAATATAGGGTGACTAAACCCTAAATTAACAGAAAATTGTCCCTTCTGCGATGAATTTGGTATCAGTAACATTTGATTCGTCATCCCGGTAATTCTGTTCTAATTCGTAGACTGTTCTGTTTCAACTAATTTATTTAATAAACAACGCCTTGAATCTTACACATATCTTTGATAAGTGATTTAAGAGTCTTGCTGCACACTAAAACATATATATTTCTGTAACGTTTCGTAACGTTACAGAAATATATTTATGTGAGTGTGCAGCAAGACTCTTAAATCACTCAAGATTGTTATCTCTACTCTTGCTACAGCATCCTTGGAATATATACATACGGATCCGCCGACACAAAAGCATAGAAGACGGATAAGTAGTTGGTCTCGCAGAAACCAAATATTCAGCGCAAGATATCTTTGATAAACTGTTTTTTCGTTCCTAATTGACTGTGGCAGCTTTAAAAGGTTGTTTCTGTATTCACGAAAGTTTTCTTTCAGTTTACTTCAGGGAACGGAAACCCATTAGGAAACAGTATGTGACGTGATTTGATATATAGCTCTTACAGATTATCCGTTGGGTGCTTCCGTTGGACGTATACTCAAGACTACAACGTGACTCTTTATAAAATATTTCACAAATATGAGTTGATCGTAGGGAGAGACATGTGTAATATTCAAAATAGAGTTAATTTTCAAAAGCCTGGAATTTTGAATTTATTTGTTTTAGAGTCACACCAGTGGAAAATACTTTCGCTCTCAAAAGATTATTTCGTTAGTCACAGATCAGTACCTTAACATATAGCTGCTGAATATTTCCAAATTCCACTCCAGAAATCTATATAGTATTGTATATTTGTAACGTCAGCGTATTGCGGAGACCAAGTTACCGAAACTGCTCATTCTTTTGGGAGCTGTGTTCTTCTTCGACATTCTTACGTGAATGGTATACTGTGGCTAATAATGAAAATATGTTCACTAAAATTCCGATAAAGAATGCAATTAATTGTCGTTTCCCCGACCCCAGGAAAACTCTTCCTAAACTTTACTATTGTAAAATGATGGATGCTGAGTAACATGCTCAAAACCATTATTGTTATCGAAATATAAAACCAGGTGCCGCTAACATGTACTGATAGCATAGCCGATCACAGCTTTTCCGGGACTATTTTTTGATTACTTCAACTAAACTAAAACTCTTCGGAAGACATAATGACAATTAAATCACTTCATTTACGGCTAATTTTCGGAAACACAACTGAAACCTGACAAATAACAGGAAAAACCACAAAATTGAGGCAATGTTTACAACAGGGGTTCCCAAATTTTTTATCTAAATTTCCCACTTCCGATTTAGGCTGAGTTTTTATTTCCCATAACATATGGAATCACTTAAAAAGGATAATTTTCCTGTCAATAATAATTAGTAAGACTTTCTATAATAAAGGTTTGCAATTCGTGTAGAAGTTGAAACCCCGCGAGAACATTCTTTGCGCCGTCTAGCATCCCAATACAGTAACGACCCGTGTAAAGAAAATCAGTGTTAAACCGTCCATATCAATTTTGCTGTTGTTGATGTTTTTTTATATGATAGACCGTCTAAAGTCTAAATCTATTTTTGAAAATGCGCATTGCTATTGGACAAGGAGACCCGTTCATCTTTGACGCCCCAGACTTACTCGGCAGAATATCATCACACTCCACGAGACAAAGTTTCATCTATGTCCCACCGATTTTATGGAACTTTTGGTCCTTGCTATTCGCAGGACATCTACAAATGACGCATTCAATATCACCTTTGAACTCATTTGTAATTACCAATGTTGTCGAATCTTATCCTGCTTTTATTTTGCTATTTTTTAGCAAACTGATAAGCAAATGGATGTTTGAAATATGTTGCCTCGTCTGATGGGGCTACATAGAACCGTTGAATATGGTCTTAGTGCAAAAAACGCATTGCGGCAGTTGCTCAACATTTTTTCCTAAAAAACATGAAAGTAGCCGAGATGATTATGATCGTACTTTATTTTTACATAAGCTATTACCTTTTATTAACAATTTAGCAGAATGAAGGGACCAGTCAAATATTCGTTCATCAGAGCTCGTGCACCCCCGATATCTTTTAGACATTTGAATAAAAACTGTTCTCTACTGCGGCTCTGCTACGAAAATCTTCTTGTGTAACATTTAAAGCATGTTGCTCGTTCGAGACATGTCTGTGAGGTTGTTATCGGCTGACCAAAGATCAAAATGAGTTACTTATAGCTCGATCAGAATATCATGGCCAACAACGTGGTTGCATGCAACATGGCCAACAACGTGTTATTTTACTAAAGTTTCGATCAATTGAATGGGAATCTTTTTCCGTTTCATTGCATATATTTACTTTTTGCTGATTGGTCATTGCTCCAGATAGGAACAAGAAAATCGATGCTTGTGGAAATATCCATAGGGCATGGCATATTAATTAAACGATTTAATCGACCGTAAGTATAAAAATCACATTCCGACTCCGGAAAGAATCAGCAGCAAGTTTCTTACTGATGCAGAGTTTTATTAATTATATATGTCTCACGGTCTTCTTTTCCCTAACTAATATCAAATTTGTGACCCATTCATTAAAAAAGGTTCGCTATCCCTGCTTTATAATATCCAAGTTAACCAGAAAACAATTTGGATTTGACTTCCACAGTGTAACGCTACAGAATATGGCCCATGCTGAAATTTAAGGGCGGGACTTTACCTCTTCTTTATTTAAACGCTAATCAATATTAAGAAAAATAAGAACAATACCAGGCCTGGCCATAATAATTACCTTACCGTACGGAGAGGTATGGTTGAATGCACCACCACCCGTTGAAAAACTACGCATAGAAATACGGATTTGGAATACTTCTTGGGATTATGTTGAACCAAAATCATTTTATCCGAGTCTTTCCGTTTAGATCAGTGTTCGTTGGAGATTTTAATGCACATCATCGGGTGTGGACAAGTTCCATGACAAACTCACGAAATATTATGCTCACAGATGCTATATAAGTAAATAATTTAGTTTTACTCAACATTTTCAGCCAACAAGAATAAATATATACATGGTAGCTATAAAGAGATGATCTTTGTTGGGCTTATTTATTGCTATGTCCAACCGCTGCATAAAATTTTATCTATATCCATATATATAATATATATATTTATATATATTCGATCAAATCTATCTCCTCCAAACCAGTTTTTAACCTGGTCTCACTCTCTGAAAATGTTGATTAAAATAGTCAGTCAGGAGTTTATTTTCACACATTCCAAAAGTACACATTGTACTTACAGATTTATACAAAATTAGGAAAAATAGGAAAAGAAAAAGGAATTTCAGTGTCGAAAGAGACGTAGCAATTAATAATTAGCTCAGGGTGGTCCAAACTTCGGCTAGCGGGCGTATGCGACCCGCTGACACATTCCGTGCGGCCCGCAGAACAATTTCAGCGTACACTACTAAACCATTGGCAGACATTTGTATTTATTATCGGAATCATTTCATTTATTTTAAACTATTCCAACTGGGAATAGTCCTTTCCCTTTATGTTATTTATGTTTATTAAAATCACAAAATTTCATTGTTGTACGGTATCTATAAACGTCAAGACGGTGCCTATATGCATGGGAATGACGTCCTGTGATCGGTAAAAGGAGAATGAATTGTCTTGTGCAGACAGGACCAAGCCGATAAGATGAAAAGACGTTTTGTGCCCTTATTTTAGTCAAAACACTCCTCTATTTTCAAGCGTTAGCCATGTGCGCAGTGACGAACCGCAGAGCTGACCTAGAGCCGCGCGATCCTGTTTATTTTTATTATCTGGGTCTGAGGTCCCGACATAAACAGACTTGGTTGTTTTTGACGGTAGCACTAGGCCTGCTCACGCTACAAGTATAAATTTTATTTCAAATATAACAATTCATTATACTATGAGTGTAGAAAAAGGTGACAGAGGTAAACTGAGAAGAAATGTATTTCATTTCACACAACAACGTTCAAGTAAATCTGTCAAGGAAGAACATAATTTCGAGCGACATTACAAAATCAAACATGAGGAAAGATACTAAAAATACCACGACATTTCTCGGGAAGCACCCTGAATTAGCTGATATCAGTTAACGGGAAACAAATCACCTTGTTCTTTGATTGTCGCGCTATAGTGCTAGATTAAACAAAGCATAATGCTCAGATAAAAAAGAATGAACATGTAATTAAAATGATGTAATCGAATTTTAAGAAACGCAGAGCGAAATGAGACAGATTATTCTAAGAGCGAAGAGAAATAGTTGGATAGAATATTGTAATTTTTTAGGAACCAGCACAGTAATCTATCAAAAGTTTGAAATGTGGTTCGAAGCTTCACCGGTATTTTTCGCCAAAATAATATGCATGTCATATATGACGTAGATGCTATTTTATCACTTGGCTATGGCATGATAAGAAGTGATAATAACTATTCCCAAAAATTTATTACACGTATAGCGACACTTAGGTCCGGGTTGCGTCGGCAGTTGATTGGTTGAGTGACGCGTTGGCCACACGTTTTGGTTTGTTTGTGTATTAAATTATTCGAATAAAAACGAAAACGGTTAAATCGATATAATAATTGCACTCAAACAGAGAAAGACTTAACTTAGATTAAGGCAGAAGCTTGCTTGTTTCAGTTGAGATGTGTCATGAGAAGTTCAACCCGAGTGTCGATCTCGAAACCGCCCAAAAAAACAAAACGTGGCCAGCGCGTCACTCGATCAATCAACGGCCGACGCAACCAGGACCTGGGTGTCGCTATATGAGGTTCCCCCACTTCAGGAAGGCTTAGCGGATAGACTA